GCCACCACTCTCAGTGCCCTCAGGAGGCAACGCATCACCCGACCGAGATGGCTTTCCACAGGCAGTATATGATGGGCTCGCCGCCGAAGCAAGCAGCACGAGGACTGCAACGTCAACCGTGTCTAGCTCGATAATTAGCACTGCAGAAGTTGAGTCTTCGACAACATCCATCCTTTTGGCTGAACCCACACCTTCGGCAACAGTCGCTCCCGTCGCTTGTTACAATTTTGACATCAACGCGTACGGTTACTGCTGTCCTGGACCAGGTAATCCTTGTAAGAATGACATTGGCAAATGCTATTTCAATGGAGAGGGTGTCTCCGGTGGGTCTAGCGGCGTGGTTCCGGACGGAGCGCAATGCCCACCCCCTGAGGGTGCAGAGTACTGCAGAGGGCCATGTGAGGAGTAGAAAGCCGACATCATCCGATTTACCCCCGTTGAATCCATCTGTAGATGGCCTTGTCCGACCTGTGTAAAACCTCTTTATCAACAAAAGACACGCCGCCGTGCATGATTTGGAGCGTGTGTCCGCTTATTTCACATACTTATACCTGTCTCAACAATATCTCGCAATTTTCAGAATCAAGTCCCCTAGCTATTGTAGTACACTAAGCGTGATCTCTAGAACACTTCGAACATTTGATCGTCGTTTCGAGAGACCATTCATTTCAATAATAAATCCGGGTTTTCTGGGTGAGTTTTTATCTTCGAGATAATCGAACTCGAACGTCCATTCATAATTTGCGTCTCTAAGTTGAAAAAATGTTACTCATGAATTCTGGCACTACCACGACTAATCGCATTTATCCATCCACGGCAAACACGCCTCATAAATCCTCTTCAGCCCATCGAGTCTCATGAATCTTTCAAACACACCCTCGTCCACCAATCTTGTAGAATGTAAGCTCCCCGCAATAAAGAAATCGGTCAGACTCGGCTTCTTCCCACCTATAAACTGCCTTTCCTCATTGGTGATCGTCAGCATCTCATCAAGACCACGTAATCCGGCCTCGGCTTTCTCCCACACTGCCTCTTCCTTCTTCAACAAATCTTCCAACTTCGATCCACCTAAGCCCGCTTCTCGTGTGCGTCGGAAGTACTCCTGCGAGCGCGGCGACAAGATGCCGATTTCGCGAGGCATCACAGATGTATAGGAGACTGGTCCAGCTACAGCACGTATCTGGGCCTCAATTTGCGAGCTTTTTTCTGTAGACATGGAGACTGATGGATCTGGGTATGTCGATTCGAGGAATTGCGCGATGGGAAGGGAGTCCATCACACGGGTGCCAGATGGCAAGTGAACGATGGCGGGGACGGTGTATTTATGTTTCCCTTGGGTGTGGGAAGGGAAACCAAGCCCTTCTAACGATGATTCGATGTCCGGAAACTCGAGGAAGACAGTCCGATAAGGAACTTGTTTGTAGTTTAGGGCAAGACGGATGCGCCAGACGACGGGAGAGAAACATACGTTTTTGGTGCATGCCAAGTCATAGAGCACCACCTCAGGTGCTAGTTGAGTAGCCATGTTGTTCTCCGTCGACGAAAGGTAAGGTAGTATGTAAAAGGGAAGGTTTTCTCAAGACTTTTAGCCGGCAAACTTTCATTTCGTAAGCCCGAAGTCAGGTCGCATGGCCGACTCCACTTTCCCCCTCACTACCTACCTACGTTGGTCAACCTATGATAGTGCAGCAGCTTTGCCATTCTTGCCGAGCATATTGATATCGTGTGGGCCAATGGTCGTTCGGTACAAAAGCATCACATAATTACAGCGAGAGCAAAATTTTTGTTACAACAGCCTCATTTCGAGGGAAATACGCCTGCTCGCGGCCACAATGCTCTTTACGGATGCACTGCCATTCCCGTCATCGATCTGCACCCCAAGCGACCCACGTGTGATCTCAGAGCAGGCCCTGAGCCCGAATCAATCAGGAGCAAGCTACAAAACACGAAAGGCCGATCAATGGACGATACTATCACCAACATGGCGGCAACCTACACGCTGACTTTGCGAAGTATACCGACCGCGCACAAACGAACTACATCAAAATGACAGCTACCGATAGACTTTTGGTTTTCCTGTCACCTCAATAAAGCTTGCTAAATGCTATGACGACGAAGAGTCTTACATAAGGACATTATCATCAGTTGAATCGATACCAGACATCAGGCATGCGGCCATTGATGCCATACATTACCATAGACCACAGACAGACTAGCCATCTATCGCCCTCTTATTAAAAGAAGGATTAGTGCTCCTTTGACACTTATAATTGTCTGTAGAACTGAGGCGTAAAAGCTCTTATACCTATTAATTAGATAAATCGAACTGGGTAGAGTATTAAGCTCTGTAGACTGTGCCAAGGCCAATGCCATTGGTGGTGATAGTGGTTAACAGACCAAATGATACCCCCGGCTTGTAGGAACCGAGCAGGAGGCAGCAACAACCCAGAAATACGGTTCAACCTACATCCAAGTCCTAGGGGGTACAGGCACACAACTAAACGAAGCCGAGCGCTTGGGGGAGACTGTAGGTATGAAGAACCAAACACACATAGCGCCTAGCGCCAATAAAACCGGAGTGCAAAGTCCAACACCTGTCCTCGATTCAACGACAGGGCGAACTGGGGCGTCGCTGTTCATCCTAGACGCTTCGGCTGTTGGCCAAGCCCCGCTTCCCAGGCATTACCTGCTGACTTAAGACGCGGCTTCATAATCGTGTACAGTCAATCAATTGATTAATCAAACTAGTGATCTTCCGCTCAATCATCTCCGCACTGGAAGAAGTGCCCAAGTCCCGACAGTCAAACATATACCGTGGCAGACATTTAAGCCCAACGACATCACAAGAAGTGAAGTTAGAGGACGGGACAGGGACAGAAACGAAGAATGACAAAGGCACCTCCATAATGTAATAGAATGAATAGATAACAAGACATATTGTGTAATTGGAGAAGTTCCCACGATTGATGTTGGAACAGAGAAATAAATAATTTCAAGGTTACATTGTACAATTGGCAGAATTGAGGATCGTGGAATTGGGGAGGGGCCCGCCGTTGGCTTGTTGGAGTGGTGCCGAATTGCAGCTCACTAACGCCAGGCCCAGTCTTGAATTTTGCAACTAATGCGAGATGGTGAGTTACAAAGAAACTCGTGTGTAGAATGATCCGCTCTTTCTCATCTCAGTGCATACTTATTACAGTCGTGGCGCATCGTGGAGGTGTCTAGGTTACTTGTGTTCATGTTCAGGGAGGACAAAGATACCTAGCACCCTTCTCATTCCGCGTGCCAAATCGACTCTTCACGGATATTTAATTCTCTTGGCTACGCGCAAACTTTGAAAGCCTCCATTCGATGCCACTGTTCCAGTTTCGGTCACAATACCATCAGTCATTTTGTGCACACAGGCAACAAATGAGGGGTATTTGGGAGGGCATCCATGTGACATCACGCCAAATCGAATCAATCAATCTACGGGAATAGCAAACGTCTGTTCATAGTCCCATTCACTTGGGTTTTGGGTCACGGGGCGCGGGGTTCGTCTGTCCTGAGTGCACTTTAACATGGGAAAATGTTAGCAAGTCTGGGCCAGACTGTCTATCATCATCCGCATGCATTGGTCTGATGAAATCCAAATTTAGCCTGGCATACTGACCCGCCTTCACAACAGACGGAATTTTGAGTCGACGAAAGTAGCAGGCGGCATGATAAAATACCGGCGTGCGTCTTCAAAGTCCCGATGAACCCTGACCGTTCGGCGCTGCCTCGGTCATTCTTACCCCGGATTTTGTTTTCGGGGTCCGCTTCCCGCGTGGGTTGCAACCCCGCACGTAACCGTAGGATTCTTTACGGATCTGACAATCTGTAAATGAGCTCAAAGAAGAGCTCTTAACAATGATTTGATGGTCTGATGTCAGACCATCTCTTTGGGATCGATCGACGAAAGAAGCGTGGATTGCCATCCATGCCACGGACTTGGGTCACAGGGCCCAATACGGAGTCTTTGTATTTAAGCGTGGGTGCCCCCACTACTAGAGACTCTTGAAGTTTCGCTTGTGCTGATCAACTAAAACGAGACGGCTTCAAGATTCCGCGCAGCAAAATGGCCATCGTTGGCGCAAAGGAAGAACATGTCGATCCGACTCTATCGCGGATCGCTCAAGACGACAAAAAGATATGGTATCAGAAGCCGAGCTTGCGCTTTCTTTACTTAATCCTGATTCCAACTGGTCTTGGAGTGGAATGGACTTCTGGGTTCGATTCATCTATGATGAATAGTCTTCAAGCCGTTACATCATGGTTCGAATGTAAGCTTGGAGTGTAAACCTTCTGTCTCTCTGACACGAACGCTGCTGATGCCGACAAACTCAGACTTTGGGCGACCAAACGCGTCTAGACTCGGTCTTCTTAATGCAATGTACTCGCTCGGTGCTTTGATGGCAATCCCATTTGTGCCTTTCGTCAGCCAACGTCTTGGTCGTCGACGCACTATCCTCTTTGGTTCCTGGATCATGGTGCTAGGTGCCGGACTTCAAGCCGGTTCGCGGAATGTGGACATGTTTTTAGCTTCACGTTGGGTTCTAGGGTTCGGCATCCCTTTCGCTATCATAAACGCATCCTCACTCATTGGTGAACTATCCTATGCAAAAGAGCGCCCAATCATGACCAGGTTCGTTTTTTTATACACCATTCAAGCCCGAAGATGGTTGTTGCTAACTTGGGTGAGAAAAAAGTCTCTTCAATGCTAGTTGGTTCGTAGGTATGATTGAAACTCCGGATTAGTTCACATTCGTAAAAAGACTAACGAGGAAAAAAATGAAAAGGCGCTATAGCGGCTGCTGGTATCACCTATGTATTTCCTGCCTCTTACCACTTGCTCGAAAGGGTTGTGTTATTGTTACATGTACTAATAGTGACAGGGCACCTTTCAAATGTCCAGCACATGGGCCTGGAGGATTCCGAGTCTCCTTCAACTCGTACCTAGCGGATGTCAAATCATATTTATGCCTTTTTGTCCCGAGTCACCTCGGTGGCTTATTTCCAAGGACCGGGGTGATGAAGCATACGCCATTCTGCACAAGTACCACAGCGAAGGCGAGAACGGCGAAGAATTTGTCCGCCTAGAGTACGCACAGATCATGTCCACTATTCAGCAGGAGAAGGAAGTCGCCAGCAAGTTTGCTTGGGCTGATGTTTTCCGCGATGCCGCTATGCGCCGTCGGTTCATGCTCGCTGCAATCATGGGCTTCTTCACTCAATGGAGTGGAAACGGTCTTCTGTCTTTTTATATGAAAAAGATTCTCAATCTCGTAGGCATTACGGACAACCGCACTGTCCAGAAGGTTATCCTAAGCAACACGTGTTGGGGTAAGTTTGTTGTTCTCTCTGTTGTGTGTCGCAAGATTACAAGAATATAAACTAATGTGGGTGAAGGATTAATCAACGCTGTTCCCATAGCGTTGATTGCCCCCCGTTTTGCCAGAAGGAAGATGTTCTTAGTGTGCACCATCGGGACTGCTGCGGTATACACTGTGTGGACCATTGCATCTGCCAGATTCGCGATAGAGAATTCCCAAAGGGCGGCCATTCCCGTCCTGGTTTTCATATTCGTTTACTCCCCGTAAGTAAGAACACTGGAATATAAGAACGCTGCGGGTGCTAAATTTACAATCACAGATTCTATAACATTGGCTGGAATGCTCTTGCGTAATTACCTCCATCTTCGTATAGGGTTCTGTTCCACGGAATTGAAACTAATGTAAACTTACTATAGATACACTTATCTTGTGGAGCTATTTCCATTCAGTCAGAGGTGCGTTTTTCAACTGAAACTGCGCTGGCCTTCTATTTCGCCTCCCTTTTTACCCCATCTGATTGGAGCTAACAACATTTTGTAGGGCCAAAGGAATTGCTGTTGAGCAACTTACTGTTCGATTCGCTGTCTTTTTCAACACTTACGTCAACCCCATCGCCCTCGACTCTATTGGCTGGAAATACTACATTGTATATTGCGTCTGGATCTTGGTCGAGATTGCCACGGTGTACACGATATTTCCTGAGACCCAAGGTCGCACTCTCGAAGAACTTTCTTTCATGTTCGAGGGCAAAGAGATACAGGACAAAGTCCAGAAGAATACCCAAAAGGTGCTTCAAGTCGAACTCGAAGACGTCGGGGCTCGATCACGACCAGGATCACATAATGCGCCTCCGGGTGCAAAGGTTTGATAAAAACGGAATGCTTGCTCCATAGCCTAAGTGGGTCTGGCCGGGGAGGTAGTTACTCATATTGTACCTAGCAGTGATGGGGGACGTGCACCCTGTAAGGCGAAAAGCGATATGGCCAAGATATCCAACACAAGACCTGTTGGCGGTCGACGGTAAGGGATAATTTAAGGAATGGATAGGAATGAAACCGGACGCTTATTCCAACGTTTTCTGCTTGACGTCAAGCCTCTTTCGGAAGCTGCCCTTCAGCCCTGCGGGACCCACCGAGACGGCCCGGGGAGCGGATCTCTATATCCGGAGGTGATCTCCGCGCGGAGGTCTCTCCGGCCTGCCATCGCTTTCGTCCAGACCACAGACCACCTCTGCTGTCAGTGATACCGAAATACCGAGAGAAACTTTCGGTAAGCGAGTTGGGCCAGCTGAATCCCGATGGCAATCTCAGCAGGCCGAAGTTTGTTGGAGAAGCACTCCAGGCAAGGGTGCTGTGGGGCGAATAGCTGGCCAAACGGGAAACGAACGGCGGTAAGATTGTTGATCAGCGACCAGGAGCGTAAACCGGGAAGTGGACCGGATTTGTTGGGTCAACTCGCTCATCATGAGGAAATCCTAGACCAGGACCCGATATGTCTTCCCGTCAACGCAACGCAAGCCAACCAGCTCTGCTAGCTGCGCGTGGCGGCGACCTTGTTTGATTCCGTGGCATTGATCTACAGATGGTGCCTGCGGCTTGTCACCCTCAAGCTCATTTGTCTGCCCTGTTTGTTAGCCACGTCATCGCCTGTGTGCATCGTGTGGCTGAACCACCTTTCAACGCTGTTGGAGGAGAATCTTCGGCGGCACAACGGTCCCGTGTTCACAAACCTTCGCCGCAATCAGCAAACCAGCGGCCCGGAGCAGCTGCTCCTTACTGATTTCAGCTGCCGTGGCACGCGTCCGCCTGATTCGTTTCGCAGCGGCTCAGCAGGAAATAGACTCTCCTGCTAAAATCAAGGCCTGTCACGCCAACTGCTGGTCCTCTTAAGTTTCAGGATTCGGGATGACGCCAGCGAAACGTCAATCCTAGCAGAAGGTCACTTCTGGATTGTTTTGAGGTCAACATTCTGTCTGAAAGGTTCATTTTGGCATCTTTACTCCCATTGTTCCGTCGGGCGGTCTCAAATCTCCACAAATACACGGGTGACAGCTAGGTGTCATTATTGGTATTTAGAACGCGCATACGCCGCACCTGGAACCCGCTGCATGCTGGTATCTCACTCCATCTATCTTAAGCAACCTGATCCATCAACTTGTACCCAATCTCTACCTCCTAACACCGTGTTTATGATTCAGCGCACATTAAAACCATTTCGTTCCCGCAATTAAAAATGTCTCTCGCAAACAGAGCCGTGCGCTGCGCCTTACGCTCTCATGCCTGGCCATCACGCGCACTTCTTGCACCGGCCACCGTCCAGGCATTAAGCGAACCACTTTCTTGCCGACTGTTCCACAGCACACATCGACAGAACGTCGAGCAAAAGCCAACCACTATTGATCCCAAGAAAAACGCTGCGACCGAGATCGTGCCGCCTAGAGAAACCAACTTCGGCAAAGCGCAATTTGCCGACTTTAACTTGAAGGGCCGGACTTTTATCGTTACAGGTGGCGCTCAGGGGCTTGGACTGAGCATTGCGGAAGCACTTGCCGAGGCCGGGGGTAAAGGTAAGACGACCATATTTTTCCATGATTTGACGATGAGGAAATTAAACCTAACATCTGCCTAGTCTATTGCCTGGATAGGCAAGAAAATCCTCATGAAGAATACGCCGAGGCACTTGCCCGAGTTGTGCCGGAATGGGGAGGTTCTCTTCAGTACAGAAAAGCCGACGTTGTGGATACCAAAGGACTCGACAAGATCATCACCGAAATCGCCGACGAGAATCAGAGAATCGACGGATGCGTAGCAGCTGCAGGAATCCAACAAATTACACCAGCGGCCGACTACAGCGTTGATGATGTGAACAAGATGCTAGCCGTCAACTACACAGGTGTCTTCATGACCGCAACGTCCGTTGCACGCCAGATGTTCAAGTACAAGACCCGCGGCAGCATCTGCTTCATCGCCAGCATGTCGGGGTTGATTGCAAACCACGGCCTGCTGTCCCCGGTCTACAATTCTTCCAAGGCTGCAGTCATTCAATTGGCGCGGAATCTCGCAATGGAGTGGAGTCCTATCACGGAGGAAGGAACTGGTGGTGTTCGAGTAAACTGCATCAGCCCGGGTCATATCATGACGCCGATGGTGGAGAAAAACTTTGAAGAGATCCCAGGCTTAAAGAAAGAGTGGGAGAGCCTTAACATGTTCGGCCGGTTGGCGGAGCCAAAAGAATTCAAGGGTGCAGCTCTTTTCTTGATGGGCAACGCTAGTACGTTTATGACGGGTAGCAACCTGGTCATTGACGGTGGTCATACAGCGTGGTGATTGTTGTGGACTGCATGGATCATATACCCCGAGTTGAGCAGGAGCAGACGTTCTGAAACATGTATGCAAAGCATTGAGCAAGGAGCTTCGCCAAAATAGGCTTTTTTCCATTTATAGCCTAACTACAAAGACGTCTTGACACTGAAACGTCAACGCAAAAAACACTTGTTCGAAGCGCACTTACCCAGGGGTTTTAGTCATCAGGCTGCTGCGCTAAAAACCCCTTACTCACGTAAGGGGCAAAAAAAGGGGGGTTGCAGCAGCAAAAGGGGGGTTGCACCTCGCATCACGAATAGCATCACTTTTGCCTATTATATATAGAAACTTCTACTTTTTAATTCAAAAGGTCATAACAACTACAATATTATATAATAATAAGAGTAGTATTAATTAATAGCCTTAATCTAGGGCTTTAAAAAGATACCTTTTTTTCCCTTTTTGCATAATAATTAAAAATTTAAACTACTACTATAATAATACTATTACTAGTATTATTATTAATTATATATTACTATTTCTTTTTAACCTATATTAATAAGAGAATAAGTAGATTATTCTCTATTATGCCCCTGCTTTACTAAGTATCTATATTATCCTTAATTATATAATATTATAACTTATATTATAATAGTACTTATAATATTATTATTAGCGTTAATATTACTAACAGTAATAGTACTAATACTATTTTAAGGTTATTATTTTTATCCCTAGCTATACTAACTAATTCTTTACTAAATACAGCCTTATTAACATTTTCATTAATAAGATCATCTATATCTATAAATATCTCAGGATCAAAGTCTAGCCTAGCTGCCTTTATAGTAGTATTAGCTAATACTTAGTTAATATTGCTTTAACTAAGAGGCCTTACTATATACTTAAATCAATCAAGTATATACTATAATAAAAGGGTAAAGTTAACGTTAATAATAAATTTTTCCTTTAGCTTATTATACTAATAAGGATCTAAGGTATTAAATAGAATATAAATATTAACTTCTTTAGTATAATATAGCTACTATTTAAAGGTTAATTGCCTTATCTACCTATTGAAACTGCGTGGGATAAAGGAAGCCAGCAAGTGGGCAGTTGACACACAAACCACACCAAACACCAAGGTCCCAGTATCGTCACGAGTGCACCTGGAGTGACCGATTACCCCAAGTGACTACCCCAACGCCTAGACCGTGAGATACTACTCTTTTCAGGTCCTCCTTGGCCTGATCAGGGCCATGAGCAAACCAGAAAAGTGTATCCTTCACGTCTTGCAGTCTGTTCGGATTTGCCCTTGTTGCTAAGTGGTACGCATGTGTGTGTCGTGATCTCTGGAGGAGGAGGATACCCTCCTAGACCTTAGAGGTCTAGTCAGGCCTAAGGAAACAAAGCAACAGTCACTTATTACACGTCTTGTTTAGATATCAAAGTGATGAATTCGTCCGTGTCTGTCTAAGTGCCTGTCTAAAGATGTCAAGCTTCTCTGTCTGCTTCGTGATGAGATCCCGATCTCTGTGATAGTATCTGACTAGAGCCCCCTTTTGTACTTGGAAGGGTCCTGCTTAGTCACATCTGATCAGGCCTGTGATTGTGTCTGCAGGCTGATAAAAGGAAAAATGAAAACGCGAAACCCTGCCCCTTTCCAATCGTCCCCCAGTTTTCTTCTTCGCGCAACATATTAAAAGGAGAAAAGTGTAAAAGCATAGGGGCAGACGACATGTAAAAGCAAAAACCAATCCTCCTTATTGTATCCTCCCTGATCAGACCTGTGATGTCCTCCTAGCGGCGGCGGAAAGAGTATCTCGAGCCACTCGCCTCGTTACGAGCTGCCTCCCTCTCAGCCTCGAGACGCTCCTCCTCGAACTTAGCATCCCACTCCCGTCCCTGATCATACCGCTTATGACCCTCCCATCCAGGTGCAATTGTAGGTCGTAGAAACAGCTGCCAAGGGCGCTGTCGCACTGCCACCGTCTCATAAGGGTTCTCGAACATACTAACATATTCGTCCCTGGTGTAGTCGGTAATAGACTTGACCCTGCGCTCCCTTAGCTTGTGGCGCTGCTCCTGTGTATTGAACAGGGCTTTCTCATAAGCATTTCGCTGTCCTTCAGCCTTCATGTACGCAGTAGAAGCCACATTAGACAATCGCTTGAGGTTAAGGGGCAGCGCGGGAGCGCGGGCTTCGCGGTGGCCTCAGACTCAGCATCGCTAACCTCCTCTTCGTCGTCTACATCCTGAGCCTGATCAGGCTTAGGAGATGGCCTCACCACGTTACCTTCTGGGGCTGGCGTGGTAGAGAAGCCTGGCTGGTCCTGTGGCGCACCAGTATCTGAGGGGGGCGCATCGAACCAAAGAGACTGGTGAGATCGTCGTCTTGAGGTGCTGAAGAAGGCGTCTTTTTGATGGGCTTAAAAGTCCCAGGAAAGGTGTTAGAGAATTCCGGTGTGTCCTCCTTAGTCTGATCAGGCTTGCTGGATGCTTCTTGTCGAAGTCTCTTGTCATAACTGTCCAGTACAAGCCTCGGCTTATTGCGAAGGTCCTTTCTGCCGTAGTTTCCTGGTTTACTGAACTCTTCAGTAACCCATTGACGCCAGAAATGGTTAACGTGGTCAATGACGTTGCCTCTGCTATCGTTCCAAACCTTCGTCCAAGTCGGACTCTTTGCGATGTTGGTAACGTTGTCTCGGATGCAGCATCTGATGAATTCCGCTGCATGCATTCCGCAAGTCCACTCGTCAGGCTGTTGAGGGCCGATCACAATGCCTGCTTTCATGCGGATCACCTTGATCAGGTTGGGGGCAGCATTGACGCTCTGATAGAACTTGCAGAGACGGTCCATATCAATAGCGTACCGAAGGGTTGCATCTCCGTCTCTCCACATACTGTCATACCAGAAAGATCGTCCAGTAACTTGGTTAACGAAGAGGGCAGTGAAATGATTGATGTGATGGGTAACGAACGCCAGGCAGTCCGCCTTTCGAATCCGGTCCTTCTGATCAGGTCTGGCCGTCACAGTAGGGGTGTCGCGGCTCCAAGGAGGGCTGTCGGCAACAAAGCAATTGACCTTGGCATCTCGAGCAGCAAATGCCGCAAGACTTTGGACATCGTCAGAGGCCATCCAAGACTGCTTAACCAAATGTCCAACCGCGTTGTAGATACCAGGGAGGTAGGTTTTTGACTCGTTGTTTGTCCACTTCCCCAAGAACCATCTTGCGAAAAGCCCTTGCCCCAGCGATTATACATCATGCTTATGGCAGACGCGTTGTTACTCGGAATCCACATGGGAGCAGGTCCGTCGCCCTGATCAGACGGACCAGGACAGTTGGGAGGTCTCAGCGGAGTAATAGGGTCTTCAGTAGCCGGGTCTGTGAACCCTTCGAGTGGCTTGAGGTCTTCGGGATGCGCGTGCTGTGATTTCTGCGGCATCTTGATGGCGTTCGTGGTTTGCTTAGTCGGATCAGGGAGATTGTCGCTGAGATTCTGAATGCGGCATTCCTCGAAGAGAGTTTGGCAGTGCTCCAAAACCCACATGTTGTTGGTTCCATCTGGGCCGGCAGGAGCGTTCCAGATAACGTTAACGGCTTGGAAGGAAGACATGATGAGTTGTAGATGTGTGTAGATGGGTCTGATCAGGGTGAGAAAGTAAAAAGAAAAAGGGAATAATGTGTTGTTGATTGTTGGTTGGCTCGAAATTGTGTGGCTGAAGTTGATGGTGGTGGTGGAAGAAGGAAAAGTGAAAGTTGTTGTTGGCGGGTTTCTTGGGCTTATTTTATAGCTTTGTTTCTGACGAATCTTGACCTTGTTGTGAGGAAGGAGCAATTCGAAGTTGCTGAAGAGAAAGAGTAAAAAGGTGGATACAGGAAGGTAAAGAAGATAGTTGTTCATCTGCCCAATGTTCACAAAAGTGAATAACTTCTTCCTGTTCACAACAGTGAATCACTTCTTTTCTCTTAGTTCCTTCCCTCTGATCAGTGAATTAGAAGAAGCAGGCCGTAGTTAGCAGGATAAAAAAAAAGAGGCCAGGAATCTTCCTTCAGATCACTTCTTCTCTTCCTCCACACAACTTCACGTTGCTTCTTAAGCTTCATCTTTTCTGCAACTCAAAACCACTCAACAAATCAACTTAACTTTCTCACCACAGCCCTGATCAGACATCGCCATGCCTCCCAAGCGCAAGCCTGAAGCTGCCTGGAACCCGTGGTTCTTTACTTGCGACCCTCCTGCTGGAAACAATTACCTGGCCATAACTCCTGTCAATGCCACAGTAAGTCGTCCCCTACTCCCTGTTGAAGGTTCATAGCTCTGATCAGACAGATCGCAACTTCCTTAGTGTGGCGAAAACTCGAGTCTCCGATCGGTAGTCTCTACTGCGAAGTCCAGTTTGCCGATGAAATTCAGAATGGTCAGACTCGCAAGAAAGTTGCTCAGGCCTTCTGGCAGGCTATCGCAAGAGGCAATGTCCTTCAAGTCCTCCAAGATCATACCAAGACTGGCTTGTTCAAGCGTCGCGTTTTCGTCTATGCCGGTTATCAGGGTGCTTTTGGATCCCTGGCTTGGAAGCTTGCTAGTCGCATGCAGGCTGGCGCCGCCTTGGCTGTCCATGGCCTTGGTGGTCGCAATGCTGTCCCTTGCGAATGCTGCGAAAAGGGTTGGCAGGCTGTCCGGGCTGGGCCTGATCAGGTCGCCTGTTTCGTCCCTTCTGGGAATGCGTCTCCCTTCCTAACGAATTCGGCAATGCATGCTCCAATTGCCTTTACCACGAGACTCAAGTCCAATGCTGCTATCGAAACAAGGACTTTTACCAGGAGTTTGGATACATGGGTCGGGTAAAGGGCACCAAAGAGCGAAGAGCCAGCGGCGGCGGCGTCCCCTCAAGCATTCCTAACAATATCTCTTCTATCGATTCCACGCAGTTCTTTCGGTCTGACCTTATGAAACTTATCAAGGATCAGTATAAGGGGCTTTCTAAGAAGGAGAGAAAGTCGCCTGGTATCTTGGATGGCTCTATCTGGGTGCAGGATAGTATTGACTGGAAGACGGAGGGTGATGATGAGGATTCGGACTAGGGATATAGGGTTGTCTGATGACTTGGTGGTTTGGGCTTAGGATTTGGGTGATTCTGGGATGTTTCTAGGTCTGATCAGGCGTTTCCTTTCCCAGATAACCTCGTCCCAAGTTTATTGATGAATGCAATAAGGGTTCCGAATCAATGAACTTTTCGTGAAAGGAAATGCGTGCGAAATGTTATGGAAATGACAGTGCGATGTAGACATTAATAAAGGAAAATGAAAGGATATGACAGCAGGCCTGATCAGGCTTGCTGTGTCATGTCAGTATACTGCGCGTCCTTTGCCGAGTCCTTGGGTTGGATGTCAATCGCAAGTCTGGACGATGACTTCCAATGCTCTAGTTCTCTGCGGAGCGTGTCGTTTTCTTTTTCGAGGCGTAGCTGTTGAAGCCTCGATCGTGTCTGCATGATGTCTTCGTCCTGATCAGGGCTAGGAGCCATGTCTACTTCCCAAAGTTCGTCTTGGTGGTCCTGGGCTGGGAAGAAGGGGGTTATTTCGTCTTTGAGCTTGGCTTTGGCCCACGCAGGATCCTCCGATTCCCAGAAACCGGCGTCGTTCTCGATATATCTCTTGAGACGTTTCCCAGCGTATGTGGCCCTCGTGATAAGGTCACCAGCAAGCGTCTCTAGGCGGTACATGCCGAGTTCTCAGACACAGAGTGGACTCGTAAAGGGCCTTGCCAACGGTATGTAAGTTTCCTAGCTTTCGATTTGTCGATTGCGCGTTTCTCGTCGAAGACAAGAACTAAATCGCCAGGCTGAAGCTTCTCTGACCGCATTGTGTGTTGATGGCGTGCGTTATAGTAATCCGCAGATTTCTGTCTCGCAAGAGCCACATTCTTGCTGCAGTCTCCCTATCGATTTCAAGTTGTTCAAAGGAGCGTATCCTGGCAGCGAGTTCCTGATCAGGGTCACGAACTCGTCCCCAGTCTAATACTCTCCAAGTCAAGGTAGATTCTTCGATGGGTGTGATCGCTTCGTATCCTGTAGTTAGGAAGAAAGGTGTGTAGCCCGTTGGTGCGCGGACTGTCGTTCGGTCTGCAAACAGCGTAGTAGGCACAATCTTCCCCCAATCTCTTTTTCCTCCGTCTGACCAGGTCAAGATGGTGTGCGCAATGGGTTTATGGCCTTGTTCATTGACCCCGTTCGCCTTTGAGTTATACGCTGATATAACCCTTTTTCTGATACCATACTTTTCATTCAGGCGGTCCACAGTCCCTTTGTTTTCTGGTCCGCCGTCGACAATCATCTCTCCACAGACACCGTGGCGGCAGAAAAAGTCTTCCCAGATGAAGTCGGCGACCTGATCAGAGGTGACAGTCCTTACCCTCCTTGCTTCGGGCCAACCCGTCATATCACAACGTCCCTCGATCAGTGCCCAGGAACCAATCCACTGGACATCAATAGATATCTTCGTAAACGGTAATTCCCCTGGGACTGTACCGATGTGCCAGTCGTCCATCCGGGTTGATCGAGCCTTCTGACAGGCATGGGCATGACGCGAGCTGGGCCTGCACCCTCCGGTACATATCTTTCCAGATATAGGATACAGAAAGCCGATGGAATGTTGCATCGCGTCCCGGTGTCCTGATTCGACGTGTGCGTTCCTGATCAGGTTCTCCTGAATCTTTGGGTCGTCAATAAGGCGTCTAGGGATCGGGCATCTCTTTGTTGGTCGACGGTATAAATAGCCATCTCGAGCAAGATAACACCAGGCCTCTATTTTGAACTTCCTGAAAGTATGCTGTGATATTCCATCTGGCGTAATAGTGTCTTTAGATGGAAGATGATTTGTCTCGTTCGGTCAGTCCAGTACTGATCAGGGCAGAGCCATGCTTCAGGGAGTTGATGCAGGTGAGAGGTCTTTGAAATGCCGGATTTGGATCCTCCGAATGATTCGTGCAGTCGAACAAAGTAGAGGTTAGCGTCGATGAAATCTTCAACCTGATCAGGGCTCTCGTATTCCTCGATATCGGATAACCCTGGTGCTTTTCGTGATAGCGCATCCGCTACCACATTCTTCGTCCCCGGTATATGCTTGACGTCAAAGTCGAAAAGACGTATCCAAGCAATCCACCTAGTGATTAAGCGCCAGGAAGATCGTGAGACCCTCCGTTGAGCTGAGCAACTAGGACCTGTGCATCAGTTTCCAACAAAAATCTGATACCGTAGACGTAGTTTCAGAGCTTCTTCAATGTCATCAAAACCGCTCTCAATTCCAGTTTCCCAGAGTCGTATTTTAACTCAGCGCCTCTCCAGATACCACTTTCATACCTTGCCACAGCCCTCTGGGTACTGATCATCTGACTTAGTACTGCGCCCCAACCTTGCAGGCTCGCATCTGTGCTGATGACCACTAACCCAGCTCTGGGCCATAGGATAATGAAATGATTACAGGAGAAGTTGTTAGTTTGGACTTAAGGGTATCCATGGCGTTGACCTGATCAGGCCCCCAGGTAAACGTGGCGTTCTTTTTGAGGAGTTTCTGGAAAGGCAAAGTGATCTCCGAGTATCTATTGACCTATGATCTGTAGAACCCAGTTATCCCTACAAATGACCTGACTTCACTGATGTCTTTGCATTTTTCCCATTCCTTGATCTTGATGACGTTCGCCTGATCAGGGCAGCGACCTCCAGAACCGCAGACATAGCCGACGATAACAGCCGTTCTCTGAAGCCACTGTGATTTCTTGCTAGCTATTGTGCAGCCTGCCAACTCGACATTGAAGAGCACCATGTCGACGTAGCGAATATGTTCGTAGATGTAGCGTCGAATGCCGGCCTGATCAGGGAGCTCCTCATCGTTGTACGTGGTTGTAGGCCCTTTGATGACGATATCATCAAGAAAAGCCCGGCAACAATGTGGTATAAGGTCATAGAGTATCCGGGTGATAACTCTCATGAACTGTGCCACAGAATTGGTGCCACCTTGCGGTAAGGTGCACATGCGTAGAAGTCCAAGGGGTGTAGCAAACGTTGTTAAATCCCTGCTTTCTTCAGCTAGAGGGACTTGGTCGTATCCAGAGAAGAAGTCCAAGAGTGAGAGAATCTGGCACATGCCGAAATCTTCTGAGAAATTCTCTGCTCCTAGAGGAGCAAAGGCATCGCGAATCATGACCCCATTCATTCGAGTAGCTGAATTGATCAGGCGTAGAGAACCATCCTTCTTCTTTACAAGAAACCAAGGGTTTCGTATAGCCCCATGACCTTCTTCTAGGATACCCTTATCGATTCGTACCCGGATAATGTCCATAGCTTGTGATTCAAGCGCTCTAGGTATCGGAATTCCCTTTTCTCGCCAAGCTTTATGAGGCACAGTCCTGATCACCTGTGGGGGGGCAACTTTCGGGTCAAGCGCGCCGTTTTCAGAGAAGTCCCAAGCGAGAGCATTTTCGCGGTTCAGAAGGACTTGGAGGAATAGGTCCTTCTCGCGGGTAGGAGATGACCAGTGTATCCATGATGGCCGCCAATCTGTCTGGCTTGAGGCGTGAATACGGCTCAATACTTGAATACTTAGGCCTGATCAGGCCTCGGAACGGTCCCTCATCGGGTTGCATTGTCTTTTCGGCTTCAGCCAGGTTCTTGACTTTCCAGAGGGGATCACCGTCAGGGGTTGATCCGTCAGACGGTTGGTCATCAACCGGATGTATCTTCTTGTCTTTTCCCTTATACATGGTGAATACCTTTGCATCCTGCTTGGTCTGATCAGGCTGGGAATGATGTTTTGTTAGCTCCACTGCGTAGCTGTGTGGTTGCTCTGGGGAAACGGCGTCCCTTTTTGTTGATCATGTCGAACTGTTTGACTATTCGCTTCCTGATTCTTTCTGCTTTAACTTTCCCAATAGTCGCTGATAACTGGTTAAGGTAGACCTTGGGGCAGCAGGCCTGATCAAGACGATCTGTGTCGATGTGGGGCGGGTTGGCTTTCCAACGCAGCAAGAACATCCCTTGTTATCGTGCCTTCTAACCTTTGCTATAGTCTTATAGACGTCTTCTACAGCTGGGGCAAGAAGTGTAGTTAGTGCCACTTTCACCAGATAATCTGACTCTTTTTCAGATAATTGGATCACTTCTTCGTCGTCTTCTTGTAGCTCATGTCCAGGAATTTCAAGCTTTCCAGCAACAGTCCTAGTACCATTACTGGAGTCTAGTTTTCCTGGTCTTGATGCAGCTTGGTCTGATCAGGGAGATGGCCTTAAGAGCTCTTACATAGTTGTCCCAGTCTGGCAGATAGTCCAGGAATTTCCCAGGATTGCCAAACTTCAGGAATACAGCTGGGACATAGAGCGAATTTGCCCTGTTGTCAGTATCAGCGTGATCATGTCGGGGCCATACACGTAGTTGATCTGCGTATGGAACCCAAAAGGCGATCCCAGAAGAAGTGGTTCGTTCATCCTTCTATCGTCAGCAACGAACATGCTGGTTAGGAAACAGTGGCCTTCAACCCAGACAGGCACGATAGCTGCTCCGTCAAAGGATACACGCTCTGAATTGGGATCAAAAGCGTTCATCCCAAGCGGCGTAGTTGTAAGCTTGATAGCGTGCTTGTCTGCGTACAATCTTGAAATAACGTTGATTTGTGAACCATTGTCAATGACACCCTTGATCAAGTCGTTCTGATCAGGGCAAAGACCACCGACTCGGACGTTGATCACAAAGTGAGGCATCATAAAGTGCAGAACAATAGACTCAATGGTGGTCAAGTCAAGCGTCTTGATAAGTCTGACCTTAGCAGTTCCGCTCATAAGGTTTAGGACGTCTCTGTTATATCTGTCAATTGCCTCGCAGGCCCCTGATCTTTCGTATGGTTTCACCTCCCTGATCAGGTCAGAGGGAGCCTCTAGGTAGATGTCCGAGTACCCGTTGCTGTCCAGCATCTGGCGTATCATTACCATCGCATCCTGGTTAAGCTGGGCCAGACTCGAAGTGCGACGTCGAAGGGATGGTAATATTCCCTCCAAATTTCTTGGCAATAGCTTGAGCAGACGCAGCTCAGTCCATTATCTCCAGTTGATCTGGGATAGAATCCTCTTTGGCAGTTCTTGAGCATATCCTGAACTATGCGCGAAGTTGGCGTGCTCGCCCGCTGGTACAGCTTGAACAGAAGGGGACCTTGAACTTTCAGGAGTCTGATAGGCCTGATCAGGGTGCACTGGACCGGTAGGTTGTGTCGGCGGAGGAGTCTGGGCACGGGCATCGATATTCATTTCCTCAGCCTGGGAGCCAGTGCTGGAAGTGCTCCCTCTTCGATGCATGTTTTTCGAAACAAAGCCTTGGCGTACTGAATGGGGCCTTGCCTGATCAGGGCGGCGCAGAATAGGTCGCGGCATTGTGTCCAATGACCTGGTAACCGCGTTCACTTTTGCCCTTGAGTTAGGAAGACTTCGGCGTGTGTCTTAGGGGATACTGAGACGCATTTGACAAGATTCACCCGGGCGTCTTGGGTGTACAGCGGTGGGTAGCACTGTATCTCAGGTTGAAAGGGACGTCCAACACCCTGGTCAATTATACGTTTTGCTGCTTTTGCGGCTTCTGGGAACAAGGTGTTGTTCGCCACATGGGTGAGGATAGTAACCCGGTCAGGCTAGTAGTTTTTGCAGGCTCCCAGATAACAACATCAGGAACTTCGTTTACCTCAACGTTCAATCCTCGAAGTACCCCATACTTGTAGACGTCGTGGTCCAACATGATCAGGTTGGCCTCTTTGTCCTTTTTGAGTTACAAGCACATCCAATACCTTCTTTGGTCGCATGCATCATACCAACACTGATCAGGATGGCCTGGAACAAAACCTGGCTTGCTGAAGGACGACGGTTGTCGAGCTGGTGGTGTATATAGCCGTGGAGGACCGGATACAGAGACGTTATAACTACGTGCAACCATAGGTTGACTGTTAGAGATAGTCTGGGCTTCAAGACTGGCTTTTACAGCGAGTGTGAGGGCTGCTACTGTTTTCGAAAGTTCGTCCATAGCGGGATCGGTCATAACTTTGATGTCTTTGAAAGCAGACTTCTTAGGGAGTGTACCTTTGACCTGATCAGGGCTGGAAGGCCGCTTTGAGGAATAGGGAACCGTAGCCGATGAGGAGGAGGCAGAAGTGTCAGAATCTCCGTAATGACCCTTATATCTTGACTTCTGTCCCACCCATGTGAGCATTGCCCTCTTGAAGGCGCTGAAGTTCCCTCTCTCAAACAGATCAGCAGGGGAAAGTCCCATCTGCAAGGACACTGCCATAATCGTGTTTTCGGAAAATCACATAGCAAAAAGCTCAATCAGCTCTTAGGCGCCCATCACAGGCTTCCCTTTAGCCTTTGCCTTTTCTCTTACGCTCTCAACCTTCTGAAACAAAGTTGCAGTTTCTGTCAGGTTATCGTCCCTGATCAAGTCTCTCTTCATAAGGTCCTTGATGCGGCGGTTCGGTTGAAGGATGACCTCTTCGTCGAGTTGTCCGTAAGTGTCAAGAAGGAACTTGCTTAGTTCTTGCCAAGTCTCCTTTTCAGCCTTGATCTTCACCGTTGCTCGGTGTTCATCAGGTAAGTACCATGGCAACGCTTTTGTCTTCTCTTTGTCAGAGTAACCAGCAAGCCCAGTCAAGGCTTCATACTTGTCAAGGAAATCGGTGATGTTACAGCCGTCAAAGGTGGGGGCCCCTTTGGTGTCCGGCGGTGGCATCTTGATGGTTGACCGACGCAGGTTATCTGTCCCGCCCTGATCAGGCTTAACAGACCCTTGGTCCTTGGTCATGCTTGCGTTGACCATTGTTAATAGGTTCGCCATCAAGAGTTGCTAGGCCCGGAAGTCTGCCGCAGTAAGGGAGTCTGATGCCAGATCAGGGGAAGGGCTTATGTCCTTGCCGGCCTGATCAGGACTCCCTTTGTACTGCCGATAGCCTGAGCTTGGGTCCTTGCCCTCGCTTCTCTTGGTGGTTCCGAAGTTGGGAATCTCAGGACCGGTCTCAGACTCAGTGTCCACATTGTCGTCAGGGCCTCGGTAACTCTGGAAAGCTTCACCGGCGAATGAGGCTGCCTGATCAGTCAGACCTCCGAGCTGCCCCGTGTCGGTCGTTGATGGGGTCGGCTTAGACATGTTGCTGATATCCTGGCAGGCTAGTTGTGGGAAGTGTAAATGGTATTGATCACTCTGAATTGATCTTGGGGTGCTGCGCGTAAAATCTCTTCGGAGTTGCTGCCTGGCCCAGTCTGTCAACCTGATCAGACTTGGGAGCAGTATTTTGTATGTTCTTATAAGGCATTGGTTTATTGCGTCCTTGATTGAGTTTCTAAAGGGGGTGCTCGTCAAGTCCAGGCTAATCCTAAAGGAACGTTGAATTTCCATTGCTGCCAATCCATCAACGCTGAGACGTTTAGTCTCTGTTAATAGCGCAATGTCGAACCTGATCAGACCGAGGCTTGCATGGTAACAAGCTCTCGAGAAGTTCTGGGCTTGGTTCGTGGTCGTAATCATTCCGTAACCTACGCTGAGAGAGCTTAGCTCACTGGTCCCAGCAGAAGGTATCATTCTTATCTTATCGTTTTTCTTCTTCCTCTCACGTCTTGCGGGCTCCTTTCTCCGATTGGGCTTGCTCAGTGCTTGCCCACAAAAGGATCGCCCACGCAGAAGGTTTGTCTGGCCGTATTGTGTCGTTATGGCTGGTCGTTCGTTTCTTTGCTTTTTCAAAGAGTCCCGCTTTTCTTGGGTCTTGTCCATTGCGGTTTCTCAGGGTCAGGCTCACTCCCACGTCTAGGACTGAGTCTGATCAGGTCGAGGATATCGTTTCCTTCATATCTTTTCGATGATATGTTCTGTTGGTTGAAGCTATTTTCGAGGTACTGATATCGGATTTGTCGCGTAATCGAAATAAATCAATGAGAAGATCGGCGGTTCGATTCCGCCACGAGGCACCATTGAAACTGCGTGGGATAAAGGAAGCCAGCAAGTGGGCAGTTGACACACAAACCACACCAAACACCAAGGTCCCAGTATCGTCACGAGTGCACCTGGAGTGACCGATTACCCCAAGTGACTACCCCAACGCCTAGACCGTGAGATACTACTCTTTTCAGGTCCTCCTTGGCCTGATCAGGGCCATGAGCAAACCAGAAAAGTGTATCCTTCACGTCTTGCTGTCTGTTCGGATTTGCCCTTGTTGCTAAGTGGTACGCATGTGTGTGTCGTGATCTCTGGAGGAGGAGGATACCCTCCTAGACCTTAGAGGTCTAGTCAGGCCTAAGGAAACAAAGTAATAGTCACTTATTACACGTCTTATTTAGATATCAAAGTGATGAATTCGTCCGTGTCTGTCTAAGTGCTTGTCTAAAGATGTCAAGCTTGTCTGTCCGCTTGGTGATCCCATGCCGATGCCCTCGTGATAGTATCTGACTAGAGTCCCCTTTTGTACTTGGAAGGGTCCTGCTTAGTCACGTCTGATCAGGCCTGTGATTGTGTCTGCAGGCTGATAAAAGGAAAAACAAAAACGCGAAACCCTGCCCCTTTCCAGTACTATTTAAGTATAAGCTTTTATATAATAGTTAGGCTAGTTTTTCTTTTTCTTTTACTTAAACTAGAACTAGAACTAGATAGCTCTTATCTAAGAGACTAAAAAGACTTTAAAGGAAATTAATAATAATACTAGTCTTTACCTATTAGCTTTATAGTAAAAAGAATAAACTTAATATAGTCTATATTTTTTTTTATAATAGTAACTCTTTTAGTATAAATAATAGCTAACTAAATAACTAAAAAAATATAAGTTAGTTATTATAGTAATTAATTATAGTAATTATATACCTTTAAATATAACTATAAAATAAGTCTTAATAGTTTCTTAAAGTATAAGAATAGCTATTTTCTAAAAGTAAAAGTTATTTTATTAAGAAATATTATATATAATTTCTTTATAAAAACGTTAAAAGGGTACTTTTACTATTAAAAGGTTAATTAACTTCTAATACTTATAGATTTTATAAAAAGTAATAGCTAAGAGTAAATTAATATTATAGTAATTACTTATAGTAATTAAATAAATACTTATTATTAGCCTTCTAGTATCTTTTCTTTAAAAGAATAACTATAACTTTCTTAAGCGTTTTTTTAGTAGCTTTTTTAACTAAAAGTTTTTTTACTAAGGCTTTAGTAGTAAAGGACTTTTTAGTATTATTCTTTTTTATAAAAGGCTTTTTAATATCTTTTTTTAAAAGGTACTTATAAAAAGCTTAGGCTATTAGTATTATAATAAATTTAAATAGTTAATAATTTTTAAAAAAAATAAAATAAAAAAAGAAATAACTTATAGAAGTTATTATTATTATTATTATTATTATTAAAAAAAAAAAAAAATTAAAACAAAAAAAGAAAATAAATAAAAAAATATAAGTAAAGTAAATATAATTAATAGTTAAAAAAAGTATAAAAAATAAAGTAATTTATAGTTATTTTACTTATTATTTTTAACCTATTTTTACTTTTTCTTTTTTTTTAACTTTACTTTTTTTTTTTTAATAATAATAATAATAACTTTAAAAAAAAATTAATTTAAAGGTAAAAAACTAATTATTTTATTTATTCTAAAAGTATTTTAACTTTTATTTAGTTTTTTATTTATTATTAAGGATATTTTTTTTTTAGCTTTTATAAGGTCTATTTATATTTATTTGTTTATAGTAATTAATTATAGTAACTTAACTAATATTTCTTTAGGTTACCTATTAAGCTCTAGTATTAGTATAAAGTAAAAAGCTAATAATAGCTACTCTAAGAATATATATACTAAAAAAGCTTATAAGTATGTTAAAGAAATAATAAAGGAAATAAAAGAGCTTAAAAGGGCTAAAAAGTCCTTTATTACTTAAAAAAATTATAAGCTAACTACTCTTAAAAAGTCCTAGTTATATATTAATAATATAACTTTAGTTAAGGCTAATATAAAGGCTAAGGTAATTAATAACGTTATTATTATAGCATAAATATTTTTTTTTTATCTATTTTATACTTATTTTTAACCTTAAAAATAAGTAAATAAAAAGTAATTATCTAAGAATTATTATTATATAACTTAGTCTTTATTAGGCCTCTTCTAAGAGCTAAGCCTTTATTTAAGTTAATAATAATAATTAAGTTATTTAAAATAATAATAATAATAATAACTAAAAAGAAATTCTTTTTTTTAGCTTAGAAAAATAAATAAAAAAAAAGCTAACTAATCTTAAAGATTACTATAACTTTAAAGTTAATTCTTTTTTTATTAAAAGTATTAATATTTAGTAAAAGATATAAGTATTTATTACTAAACGTAAAAAAATAAGTAATTATTATAAAAAATTACTATAAATTACTAATAAAACTAGGATTTTATTTACTAAAAGTACTACTATATAACTAACTACTAGTATATAGCTCTTAACTAGCTTTTTACTAAGGTCTATTACCTAAAGGTTTAACCTTTTATTTACTTTAAAGTTACTTTTAAAGTAGGCTTTTTTTAGCCTAGTTAAAGTCTACTAACTACTACAAATATCTTTATAAAAGAGAAATCTTTTCTTTAGTTAGTCCTAACTAAGTATTAAAAGGTCTTTACTTCTAAAGATTATAAGCTCTTAAAAATTATCTCTTGTTTTTACTAAAAAAAGAAATAAATAAAATTAAAATTTTATAACTAATAGACTTTACTAATTAATCATTTTTTAAGCAATTTACTCTTTAATATTACCTTATTATAAGTTAATAAAGTAAAAGTTTCCTTTATACTATTTAATATTATTACTTAACTTAGAACTTTAAGCTAACTATTAAGTAGTTAATTAAAAAAGTAAACTAATTACTATAACTAATTACTATAAATTATTAATATAAATATAAGTTTAAAGCTCTTTTACTTTATTCTCTTAAGAGAAGATTTTTTCTAGTCCTATAAAAATATAAGATAAAATTACTCTTAACTTAGAAGTAACTATAAGATTTAATTACTTAATAATAAAGGCTTTTAAGCCTTTATAAGAGGTTTTACTACTTTATCTTTAGCTTTAGTTACCTATTAAGGTATACCTAACCTCTTAAAAAAAGGTTTTTAGTATAACTTATAAAGCTATATAAGCTTATAACTTTAATTTTATTAAAGAAATAGTAAAAAATATCTAAAAAGAAGAAATATAAATTATAGTAATTAGTTATAATAATTCTTATTTTTTTTATACTTACTACTATTTTTATATTACTTTAATTATTTTTTTATAAATTTATCTTATACTTTAACCTAAATACTACCTATTAGCTTTTTTATTAACTTTATTTATATTAAGCTAGTTTTTTATATTACTATTATACCCCTTATTTTTAGTATAATAAAATAAAAAGTTATATAAGCCTATTACTATATAAATAATTTATACTTATATATTTAAACTATACTTTAAAACTAAAGAGGTAATTATTTTTTACTTTTGTTTTAAATAACTAAATATTTACTTAATAATTATTTAAAGATAACTATACTAAAGATTATATAACTTTTAAGCTATTTCTAGTAGTTTAACTAAGAATTAAGAAGTAAAATTCTTATAATTCTTATATATAAATCTCTTTATAACTTTATAACTAAAAGTCCTATAAATATATAGTTATTTTTTCTAGATTCTTCTTGAAAAATAACCTATAAAAGTATATATTACTATATATAACTATACTAATACAAACTACTACAAACTAATATAGTCTACTGCATATAAACGCATATACTTCTAAGCATTACATATACTAGCGCTTATACTTATCTATAGGCATATATAGGTATATATATACATATATAAGAAACTATAAGTACCTCTTAGCACTTAAATATACGCTTAGATATACACTTAGATACTATATGTATCTAAAGGACTTTCTATATAACTAAGAGATATTCCCTTTACTTAGACAGTTTTATAACAACAACAAGGTATAATAATACCTTAACAGTTAATATATATATATACCTTTTCTATCTACCTTTATTCTTCTCTACTTTTCCTTGTAACTATTTATAAATAACCCCCTGTTATTCTTACTATTTATTTATATCTTTAAAATTTTATAAATAGTAATAGGTTTTTAAATAAAAAATAATAATATTATTTTAAGCATTAAACCTTATATCCTCTAAGAAATACTAGCCTTTAAAGACTTTAAACTTTTTAATATTTATAAAATTAATTAAACTAATATTATAAATTAACCTTTTAGTTTTAATAAATATAAATAAAAAGCTATTATTAAAATAAATAATAGTAAAAATATTTTAAGAAATTATTTTTTTTTAATTATACTATTTCTTTTAAGTAGTAATAAAAATATATATACTAATAAATATACTATTAATTACTTTAATATAACTAATAAAATATTTACTTAGTTTTTTATTACCTTTAATTTCTTTTAAGACTTTAGCTTTTTTATAAAAAATAATATATACTTTATAAAGCTTTATAAGGTATAATAAAACTTTATTTTAAATTAAAGATATAGTTAATTAATTAATATAAAAAAAGTAAATAATAGCTTATTAACTAAAATTATTACTATAAAATAAAATAAATAAATAAATAAATATTTTTTATTTAATAAAAAGGTTTTAAAATAACTATAAAAGTATATTATTTATAAGTTATTTTAATAATACTTAAAATTACTATTTATTAAAATAAAAAAAGTATAAAAAATAATAGTTTAAACTAAAAAAAAGCTTTTAATATATTTAATATATAATTATAATATTATTATTATTATTAATTTTTTTTTATTTTTATTTTTATTAGCTTAATATTTTATTATAATAATATTAAATATAACTATTATAATAAAATAATTAAATTTTATAATAAATTATTTATAATAATTAATTATAGTAATAAGTAATAAAAAAGTAATTTTTAAAGTATAATAATAATTATAATAATATTAATATAAGTTTTAAATATAATAAAAATTTATATAAAAAAATAAAAAATAACTAATAATTTATACTATATAAAGTCTCTTTTTACTAAAGTATATAACAAATATATAATAATATAAGGTTCTATAATCTAGAACTATAATTATAATATACCCTCCTGTTTTAGGCCTAGTGTAACACAATTTGAGTTCAGAGGGTACTTGTGGCTAGTGTTATTGCACATTTGAAATTCTTATTGCACATTTCAGTTCTTACCGCAGTCATCGATCACGCCCCAAGTTCGTGCTCAAAGTATGGGGCTTGATGATGAAAGGCCTGAACATAGTTCTACCTTCCGCTGAAAAAACTATCCAGACCATCTGAGGGGCAAGACAGGGAAGCTGTTGCGTCCTGACTCCTTGCCTGTATGGCTGTCCATGTGGGACGCGCGCTTTGCGGGTTTCTTGGCAGAGGAGAAGCTTGAATTGCATTTGTTATATCCGTAATTTTGATATCTATCCTGCTACTAGCTTTTGAAACTGAGAGTTAGAAACGCCAGGATTGACAGTCAACGTGAACCAGTATCTTGGGTTTGTGCTTTTTGACGTGTCGATTTGTACAGGACTACTGATGACTATGTCAAAATCCGGTAGAAGCATTTCCAAGCTGCCAGCAAAGCCAAATACCTATACGCATACCGCAATGACCATCCGAAAACTTGCGATTCACTATCAAAGTGCTTTCAACTCTCCAAAGTAAGCACCTGATCACACTTCATTTTCCCCCCCAAAATAGCAGCGGGTTGAGAGGTCAGCCGTAAGATAAAGACGTTGATGATGAAGCCGACATCCGTCTTTTTGTTCCGAATATATAGATGGGTAACACCATCAGTAGATATAGGAGACTTGCATTCACAGTACCCAAGTCCAGAAGAAGCCACCTTATAATTAATTGCCATTGACATCTCGCGCGCCGTCCACCGCCTCAAATGTCGAGATAGTCATCCTCGGCCGTTGTCCAATCAAAGCGGTCAGTCGGTGGGTCAGCTCAACGAGGGCACGTGACTGGCCACTGCCAAGTGCCCTTGGGGAAGGAAGGAAGAAAGGGGGGGAAGCTCCTTCCTGCAAGAGGTTGCAGGGATGCACACTACAGGGATACGTACCCCCAGCTTCCTTGTCCAGCGCGATGCTCGTGGTGTTCTTGCCCCGCCCCAGTCGCGAAAAGTAATTGCTTCCCAGCGCGTCTCACAAGGAATCGCCTTCAACATTACCAAACTATCCATCCATTTCATCGACGCCTTCTGGCTGCTTATGGGTTTTTACCGACTAGGATCTTGAACCCGTCCCAAAATTTTCTTGTTAGCCACCCGTTTCTGCCGTTCCGTCCCTTCAAGCTCCCAGTTGCTGCAACCTTGTCGTTATAAGTCGCGACTTCGGCCAAGCTTTTTCCGTCCCGCCATACCAAGAGAAGCTAGCCAACGGACGTGGCTCATCACGATCGAAATCGGCTTCGTTGCCGATGGATTCTACGTCAGCCGCAATCTGGATTCACGATTCATCGTTTTTCTAGATCGCAGCTCTAGTGTCGCCCTACTCGGCTTAGTCACATCTCGTCTTATTACATCTCACGTCCTCGGCCCCCAGTCTCAAGATGCCCCCAATTAAGATGGAGGGCATCAAGGCTGAGCACTTGGAGGGCAACCTGAACAGCTTGCCCATGACACCCGACACCATGCTGCAGCATTCTGTTCGAGGATCTGCTGCTTCTCCTTGCATCACAGCTCCGTCGTCGGCGACCACTCTTCCAGCCGACACGCCGCTCCGTCCAATCAAGGCTGAGCCAACTTCTGCTTCGGTCAAGCAAGAGATCAAGCAAGAGGAATTCCATGCCGCCATGGACTCCAGTGTTCCAGCTCGCGATGCTTCGACCTCGGCGTCGGACTCAGTGCCCGCCTCGGCCCAAGAACCTGAGGAGACGAGGCCTCAGGAACATGAGCCAGACCTTCTCGAGCAGTGGACCAAAGAGACATCGTCCGAGGTCCTAGAGGAAGGCGTCAAGATTGGCATGGAGCTTCTTGAAAGCCTCAAGGTCCCACTCGGTCTCACGGCCTCTCTTCCAGAGACCGAAAGCTTGACGTGGCTGAAAGCCATCAATCACATTCAGGCCCGTTCTCGGCCACCCAAGACTATTGTCGGCGTCGTTGGCAACACCGGAGCCGGCAAAAGCTCTGTCATCAACGCCTTGCTCGACGAAGAGCGACTTCTTCCGACCAATTGTCTGCGAGCTTGTACTGCTTCTCCGACTGAGATTTCCTACAACTACTCCCAGGACCCCGAGGAGCTGTACTGCTCCGAAATCGAGTTCATCTCACTTGAGGAGTGGCACAAGGAGCTTCAGACTCTCTTCACGGATCTTCTCGACGACGGTGGCAAAATCTCACGAGAGTGCACAAATGAAGACAGTGAGGCAGGCATTGCATACGCCAAGATTAGGTCTGTCTACCCTTCCAAGACAAGGGAGATGATTGCCGAGAGCAGCCCTGAGCGATTGGCCAATGAGCCTGCAGTTGCCCGCGTTCTTGGCACTGTCAAGACGCTCAAAGCGACTACGGCCAAGGACCTATATGCTAGCATGCAGCGCTATGTCGACAGCAAGGAGAAGAATCCGCACACCAAGAAGGATGTACCCATGGAGTTCTGGCCGCTGATCAAAGTGGTCCGCATCTACACCAAAGCCAATGCTCTCTGCACTGGTGCCGTCGTCGTTGATCTGCCTGGTGTTCAAGATTCCAATGCTGCTCGAGCCGCTGTTGCCCAAAACCACATGAAGACCTGCACCGGTCTTTGGATCGTCGCTCCCATCAACCGTGCAGTCGACGATAAGACGGCCAAGTCCCTTCTCGGCGACTCTTTCAAGCGCCAGCTCAAGTACGACGGTATTTATTCCGCTGTCACATTTATCTGCTCCAAGACAGATGACATCTCAGTGACTGAGGCTGCTGAGAGTCTTGGCATTGACTCCGAAATATCCGAATCCTGGGCCAAGATCGAAGCCTTTCGATGCAAGCTTCAAGGCCTTAAGAAGGCGCTCAGCAACGCTAGGGACGAGAAGTCAGATCTCATTGACTGTCTTGAGCAGGCTGACAGCGACTGGGACAAGTGGGACGAACTCGCGGCCAAGTTTACAGAGGGCGAGACCGTTTTTGCTCCTTCCGAAAAGAGCAAGAAACGCAAGCGCGGATCCTCCACGTTCAAGAGTCGCAAGCACTGCAGATCGTCTGAATCTGACGAGAGCTCGGACGATTCGGATCTCAACTCGGACAGTGATAAGGAAAACAACCCCGACAGCGAGAATCGACAGCCGTTAACCGAGGATAAGATCCAGGAGAAGTTGACTGACCTCAAGAATCTGAGGAAGGAGATCCGCCAGAACCGCAAGGAGGTAGATGCAAAGCTTTCAGACATTCGACAGGAGATAAAGAAGGTTCAGTCGGAGGAGGAGCACTTGCTAGGCAAGGTCAAGTCTGTTTGCATTCAGGGTCGAAACGGATATTCGAAGGGTGCGATTCAACGTGACTTTGCCATGGGCATCAAAGAGTAAGTTGCGTCCATTTAAGTCCTACGGACTGCAGTTGTTGATTGTTGCAGGCTGGACCAAGAAGCTGCCATTGAGGAAGACGAACAGACATTCGATCCCGACAAGGACATCCGTAACTACGACGAAGTTGCCCGAAATCTTCCGGTGTTCTGTGTCAGTAGTCGTGCTTACCAGAACATGCGAGGCAGACTGCAAAAGGACGACTTTAACAACGACGGCTTCCGTGATGTTGCTGAAACTGAGATCCCCCAGCTTCAGCAGCATGCGAAGAAGCTCACCGAGGGCGGTCGGGCTGCTCATTGCCGTCGTTTTCTCAACGACTTGAGGCAGCTCCTTAACTCAATGAAAATGTGGGCTGCAAATGACGGGTCTCGGTTTCATTGGAACGACCGAGATCGCTGGCATGAAGAGACGAACCTAAGGGCTCAGTTATCTACCCTGGAAAAGGTTTGCTCGTAGCTATATCGGAATGTCGGGTGTTCACTGACTTGTCATCAGGACTTTGCCAAGGCGGTCGACGAGTGTGTCGCTGCCGTGGAGAATGCACTGTCCGAGAGCATCTATGATGTCTTCGACCAGACAATCCCAGGTGCGTCAAATGCTGCTGTCCCCACGGCGTCGGGCTGGGGAGCACATCGCAACGACGGCGGTATGTTCTGGGCCACTTATAAGGCAACTTGCCGTCGGGCTGGTGTGTACACTGGCGCCTCTGGTCCTCGCGACTTCAACGCGGAGCTGTTTGAACCCATCTCCCGGCAACTCGCTACTGGGTGGGAGCGGGCTTTCCAGCGTCGCCTTCCACAAGCTCTTGAAAGTTTCGCCATGAGTGCTCGATTGCTGCTGGAAAACTTTCATCGGAGTGCTACCTCCCAATCACAGGAGCGCGGCAGTAATTACGCTGGTGTCAACATGCTGAGCAACCAGCTGCGAACGCATACAACTCGCTTGAAGGAGATCCCCGCGATGCTTCACACCGTCGTCCAAGAACTACAACGTGAAGCCAGTCGTGGGTTTCATCCTGTCATCCAGGAGGACATGCAACCAGCGTACGATATTTGCGTCGCGGAAAACGGTAAGTTCTGTTCCTAGCACCCGTTTATCTTGGCACCCACTGACACCTAACGGCACAGGTCCTGGTTCCTACGCGCGCATGAAGAGTCACATGGTCAACCACGTTGAGGACTCACGCCACACCATGTTGCGTCACTCCACCGACAGCGTCAAGGAGCAACTTCGAGCGTTGTGCAAGCGAGTCGAGGACGAGATGGCCCAGCAAGTCCAGGACATCTACAACCTGCTTGCGCGAGACTACCTGGCCGTCCTTGTGGGCATCGATAACAACGTCAAGCACACCAGCCTCTCTCGGGCCGAGCGTTTGCTTCGGGCTGAGATGTGTCCCATCCTGGAGAAGACGGACCAGTGGTTCGCCCGTTCCGACTCCACGGACGGCCCTCGGGCTATGGGCACCTCCGACAACATGGATAATCCTTTTGGCGATGACGATGAAGCTGGCTTGGGCAACCTTCTGGCTGCCCAACTTAGCGGAGGCGACAAAATGGCTGCCAAGAGGGAATCATTTAATTAGATTTGTCGTTGAACAGTCGTATTTCGGTCACTGGGAATCCTCATGGGGGAGGAAAAGCATGGGCGAATTTGGTCACCAGTTGTACTTTGAGCGTTGGCGTGCGGATTCCTGCCTTCGCGACTGGTTCTATGGTAAAAGTGGCTTTCGATTTAGCATGCGATGGACGAAGATACCCGACTGCTTCACATGGGAGTTTCGTAGATAGCCACACAATGAGTACTTGCTTTCGATGATATCAGCTTATGCATTCATCGACACATGACCGAAATATCGTCAGACGTCGCCAGATCGTGAAGTGGCTACCCGTGTCTATTTGACCTTTCATCCAAGAACTGCAGCCCAGGCACTGGAAGATGCATCATCCGTACAAGATTTACAATAACCTTCAATTCCTGCAATCTCACAATTGCAAGGGTTGAGAACAAGACATTATGAATCAAGAGATGCCTATCTACCTTGGGTAGTTACCGTTAACTACGTATTGAGTCTCCATGTTACCAACAGAAACCACCTACCTGGTCATCCTTTGATATAACCATCGGCCTGTTTACGAGGTCTCGACCGCTGTGCTGCCTAAACCTCATTCCATGGGAACCAAGCGAGCCGAAAAAGGTGGGGTACGGGGCCGGTGTGGTTTAGGCAGGCCCGGCTCGTGCGGCATGGTGGGCCAATCAGAGCTAAGACTGCCTAAACGGACCCTACATCGACAAGAGCATCATCTCTCACACACAAAGGCCGAAATATAAGCCTGGATTCTGGACATAAATATGAGGAGATGTCCTCGATAATCATGATCTTGCTTCTTCTTCTTACCACATTGTGCACTTGAGATTTCAGTCCTCGTATCGTCCTTCGAGTAATCACCGTTGTCAATAAGTCACCTCTTGATCTCACCAAAGTTACTCAGAACATGTACATTCGCTACGACAAAACCGAAAGCCCGGAACAACACTCAATTACTCAGATGCCTCCAGTTGAGCAAAAAAAGTCCAGCATGTCTCTCAAGATTGAAAATTTCGAAGACGGCGAGACTGTACACCAGGTACACCCGAACTTTCCCAGGCCGTTGCCCGCAGTCTACTGATCTATTCCCTTCCCCATAGCGCTGCATTATAGTGAAGGGAACTTACACCATGGACGGTGAATCTGCTGATGTCTTCGCAACTGTGGACACTCACGATGGCACCAGCGTAACGTTCCCAACTCAGTCCTGGCCTATCGCAGACAACAGAGTCAAGATCATTGCCATGCTTTCCCCCGGACGGAACACTCTGACGATAACCCGCTTCTCCGGCACATGCAAGGTTGTCCGCGAGCTCAACTTGACTTACATCCCGCTCACTCAATCGCCGCCTCTCCATCTTGCCATCATGGTCGCGAAGGACTCACCCCTACTCATAGACTGTCCGCCCGCGAAGCACGGCCGCGTCTCCTCGGCACACTCATCCCTTGACGCCGCCATCGCCAAACTTCGCATGTCGGCTTACATGTGGCAAGCCCTCACTGCCGAGGACATGCGGATGAAGGGGCTCGGCCGTCGCTCGTTCAGGCTGGAGGAGGAATGGACCGCTGACACAACGAGCCGCGAGTTTCTCAACGGCCTTCACGAGGCCGCCCTCTTCGAGAGTGGGGCAATGCGCGCGTCTGCGAAGGTTCATGTCATCAGATCCGACATGACGACCGCGCAGATCCGTGATGCCGATGTCGCACAGCAGAATGAGTCGGCCAGGTCGAGGGACAAACTCTTTGACTACTTCCTGGACTCTCTCGCGGCACATGGGTTGCCGTTCGACTCTTCGTCCCATCCCGTTGTTGCTGGCATGATCCTCGACTCGCACTTTTCGGTCAGCAAGAAACTCATCCTGGGCCACGCGGCTTTGGGCTGCCATAACTCCACTGGCGTCTCCCTCGGCATGATGGGTAGTCACTTGGCGTACTCCTGGCCACGCTTCCTAGAGGAGGTCACTGATTGCCTGCTTGACGTCCGGGCACCAGGGGCCAGTGTTGGAAACGACAACGGCGAATGCGGAACTTTCTGGGAAGCCTGCTCCGTCGGCCAAGGCGCGTTCCTTCACGAAGTCGGCCACGCCTTTGGTGCGCCGCACACAACTGGTATCATGTCCCGTGGCTACTCTCGACACTGGCCGCGCAATTTTCTTGCCAAGACGGCGTATTCTCAGAGTAACCAGCAGGAGGGCCTCTCTGTCGTGGACGATGACACGGAGAACGACGCTAGATGGGACCTGCGAGACGCCCTGTCCTTCAGATCACTCGACCACTTCTGGCTCCCTGGTGACGCCAGACTGTCAATCGCCGCCCGTTCAAGCGCCCCGGCTGTTTCCCCGGTCAACATCGGAGCTGACGACGCTGGTCTTGAGATTTCTTGCGCCGCAGGCGTTGCGCGCATCGACTTCAACGAGGAGGCTGAGCCGCAACCCTCCGTGGCCACCCCGTCTGACAAGGCCTACTACAGCCTCAAAGATCTCGAGGACCGTTTCTCTAGGGAAGAGGGTCTCAAGATTTCCGTCGTTGGTATGAACGGCAAGACCAAGACGGTCCGCGACGCATGGCGTCTATTCACTTCGGCTACGTACATCCACGTCCCGGGCTCCGACGTCCTATTGCAGAAGCGCTCCGTGATGAGCAAAGATCTCGAGGAATCAGACGACGATGACGGAGAAAAGTTCTGGACCTGGGCGACGCTTCTTACACGGCGTAAGGAGGACGGCACCGTCGTGCATGCGTCGAGCGTTGACGTCAGGACTGGGTGCATCCTCGATGGCGCGTACGTTCACTTCCATGACGGTATGCGCATCAACTGCGGCCCAAGGGTTTCGAAATGGGGTGGTCATGAGCATCACTTCGGCGGGCACGCCTCTGAAGAGGTCCGCATTCCAAAGGGCCAGGAGATTGTCAAGATTGAGGTGTCGAGGGAGGATGATGTTCTGCGGGGAATGAAGATTCACTTGAGCAACGGTGAATCCGGTGGTGCGTTATCCGGAGGTGGTGACGACCCTGAAACCTTGTCTCTGGGTAAGTGATATAACATTTCTTCCAGCTCACGCCTTGACGACTAGCTAACCAAGCGTGCCGCAACAGAACCGCAAGCCGATGAGCGCATCGTCGGCTTTTTCGGCCGCAGCTGGTGGGGCAACTGTTTCGACGGCTTGGTCGAGTTTGGTATCATCACGGCGCCCAAGCACTTTGTGCTCCCTAATGTGGTGTATGGGATGTTGGAGCTTCAGAACACAGATGGCGGACGTAGCGTATGATGCCCCCATTGGCTCTCAAGAATGGAGATCCTGTTACTGACGGTACCTCAGACGGAAGAGATTGAACAAGATGAGGGGTCCGACGATGAAGACAAGGCCATGGATGATGAAGAGTGACCGGCAAGCGCTTTGGCACCGGCGGCATCACTGTTCAGGCTACTAGCCGTTGCAATACCCGCCATCAGACTTTTTAGTTCTCTACCATTCAAGACATGGTTCTCGTGTGTATGCTTACATCTGTCAAACTTCTTGTAGAACGATAAGAATAACATCCTTCGGGCATCTAAACCATAGATTCGTTGCCTCACTTGCGTCTTCATAGGTCCGCGTGCCTTCCACGATGCCCTAGCATTGAAATCGTACCGCACTTGTAGTTCACAGAGAAGAACACCCCATCCCTTCGGTTCCTCATTTAGATGTGATACCTTCCTGATCTCTTATGTATAAATATCCTGGAGCGGCCATGGCGGCGGGAGATCTGTCTACGGCATGAGGCCCGCGCCGCTGTAACACAGTTGGAGGATGTTACTGGCGTCCTTGCCCGGATGTGCTCTCAAGCTCTGGGTCGTAAGGCCACAAGAGTTGTTGCAACGGCGTGCTAGGCGTTTCCATTAGTGGGGGAAAAAACTAGTTTCCCATCAAGGAAAATGGAACCTCCTTTTCCATGATCAAAACGTTCATGCCTATTTATAAAGCCCGTTATATTGGTCTAAGTATTGACAAGAGTCTTGTCATAGTCCATGTCAAGAACCGAGAACCCATGACTGGCCACTGCTAGCCTAATGAGCTAATAGAAGTTCTCTTTTATCTTCTTTGCTCTGAAAATATTAGTCATCATACAGCAGTTTTCTCAAAGTGTGAGAGCCTTGAAAATTTTCTCAAGATGTTGAGTCGATGAAACAAGACCTCCTGCTTAAGTATTACGAAGCATGGCCATTGAGACGAAGGTGTTTTACTCTATTGCCATCCCGCCAAAACAAAAAAACAGGGAGTTGGCCCATCTCGCGCTTCATTCCCGGCGTCTTTGTATCAGGATCGAAGTCTTCTGGGACAAAACGAATTCAAGGTGGCCCGGGTTTCTCTGATATCTTGAGTACTTGCTGCCATATCAGACTGCAACAAATCAGTGCTCAGATACAAATATTTCTCACTATGGGATTGCGCTCTGAGGTATCTCCCCAAATAATGTGTGATATAGACCCACAAGAGGTTTCAGTTGTCTTCAGGACGGAAGCAGTGAGGTGCTTTGTGAAGGCTTTCCCCAACAAGAACCCGCAACCATTGAGGATGGTAGTCTTTCCAATACTCCTGCGCCCTACCTATATGATGGGGCTTTATGTCTGTTTCTAACTAAACGCATCAGTAATCAAATCGAAACCCGTGACCTTATCGATGTTTTTGCGTCGATCTGATTGTCATGAAGCTAGTGCTGTCGACTCCTTTGTCCAAGAACTATTACTGGAAGACCTCCTAGTTTAGTATTTTGTGGTCTTGACGGCGTCTGCGTCATTCGCCAGCGTAGCGAAAACAGCTGGGAGGGCTTTGTGAGCTTCAGTATCGTTTCAACACAAGATTGATAGGCGGAGTTTCACATAAGAAATCTGAACAGAGGAACATCAGCAGCCTCCAAAATGTGTACTTGGCCGGCGCTGCTTAGGCTTTGAGATGTTGCTGCAATCTAAGTGTAACTAGGCTACAGGAAGCAGAGCACCTTGAATCGATTTAAACGAGGGGAAGACGGGCGAATCGTCCCTGCGCCCTGCAATGGCAGGCAAACACACAACTGGCGCCTGTAAACGTTGTATTATTGGTGGTGCAGCTTGCTGATGCGGAGGCGAACATGTAAGAGGCATGCTTCGCAACGCAATTCAATTCTGCTGCGACCCGATTTGTCTTTGTCAGCCCCCACATCTTTCCGTCCGGGGTTGTTTCAACACACAACTCTCTTCAGCCTGCACCAATGAGAACACGCAATATCGCTGGTCATCTTGAAGTAAGTCACGATCCTGCAAAGTCTATTCTTCGCACATATTGACTACTGGCATCATCCTGAACCCCTCAACTTCTAGACTATTGTGGTACCATTTAGCCATTTTTGAGAAAATTTTGATAGAATAGGGTTAGAACTTGGAAAACCAACCTCGGCGGAGGTTTGTCTTTGAGAAGGAAATCACTACGTTAAATGACTATATAGGTAGGTACTAGTATTATTCGCTGTCTTATATCATAATTTATGAGAAATAACCCTATGTTTTCATGCATTAATCGTGTCACACGCGTCGCCTGAGCAAGTGAAACCTCAATCCCTCGAGTCTAGTTACTCGGTGTATAGCGTTTATCCCAGTCAACCGACAGACCCCTTTCGAGCCCACTCTGGAGATCCCGGTTCTGAGAAGGGTGAATGTACCAACCTTGAACACCACTCATCCGGCCATGTGCCCGTGTTAACACCCTGCTGTAATGGTGGGGGAAGACGGCTTATGCGCTCGATCGGGAATATGCAGTTCTCACTCTCCGGCGGAGGAGTTGGCGGAGGCGCTTCCACAGGCTCAACATGAACTACCGTCATTTCTTGAGTCCGTAGCTTACTTCCCCTGAGGAACTTGAGCTCAATGAGCTTTCTGCTGCTGCCGCCTGTGTTTCGACTTGAATCTTGAGTGCAGTCGAAGCCGTGTGCAACGAGAATGTTGACAGCAGGAAGGCATGCGCAGATCATCCCTATGCTCACTTCTGCGGTGCTGGTCGTACAGTTAGTCTCTATGGTGGTGTTGGCAAAGCTGTAAATGAGAAGTTTGACCTACATACCCGAGAAGGTTGAAGCGGATGAAGTCTACCGTTTGATCGTTTGAATGCTGTAGTTGAATCACAATGATCATTCTGACAACACTCGCTGCTGTAGCGAGGCCTCCAGCGCTAAGCATAGCGATGACTCTAAGTCGTCTACTCCACGACATCCGAAGGGTTACAGCGACAGGTATCGGTAGACAAAGAACAGCTAAGTCGGTGATAGCACTGACAACCGTGTCAGCTACGAATATTGCACTCTGATTGAAGCAAGAGGCATTGATCGTCGAATCCCAAAACCCCATAATAGGTCGACAAACAACCATTTTGAGGAAGAAAACGGGAAGGTAGTATCCAACCATGAAGGCGATTGTGAGGAAAATCCCGATTTTCGTTTTCTTGTGTAATCTAAAAACTCTGACCACCATCAGAAGAAGAGCGAGCTTTGTGAAAAATGAGTTTGGCCCATACACAAGTGTGTCGGCATACAACCCCAGAGAGGATGTTAACGTAAGCTTCCGTCACGTAGGGGAAAGCGGTTTACCTTCAAGAAGCCTACGAAGTCTGCCGGTGAGATTTCGTAGACGTGGAATCCACCACCATAATGATGCACTTATTTTGTAAGAGTTAGCTTAGAAAGATTTTGTCGGTCAACCGGAGCTACTCACTCACGAGTGCTGTGGCGCTGTACCCGAGAGATAATATCTACTCATGAATCAATATCCTTTCATGAGACAAAATTCAATGACCAGTTTCTTACCCATGCTAGAACCGCCACCCCTATAAAGTGTGAGCAAACCATTACTATTTCAGATATTCAGCCGCAACAGCGCTTACAATCCTCAGTGTGGAACGGTGGCGCAATGAAAGCTTTGGCGAAGATGCGCAGCAGCATGAACACGGTGACCGACGTGATTGACAGAATTTGCGATACGAGATTGATCGTGTGCAGGACGTCTGTTGGGTGCTGCAGGTCGGGCACTACGCCTGCTGGCGGCGGGGCTGCCCCCTCTACTTTCGACATATCGCATCGGATGGTGTGGGGCAAGTCATGGTCGTTCCGCAGTCGTGAGAGGCCATACACTGGCAAGAGGATGGCCGGCGAGGCAAGTTTTGTTATTCAGCAAGTTCCAATGGTTGTGAGAATAGCATCTTTGTTTTGTTGCAAACTAGAATAAGTTTACCATAGAGTCGGTGCAGGAGGAAAAGCTCTGATATATCTGGCTTCATGAATGCACCGCAGGAGCCGGCTTCGAGGCAGGGTGAAGATGATTCAGACTAGGTTGAGGAGTTGTTGCATGGTCATCCCCAGATAACAGAAGCTTATTTACGCCGTTGAGAGGTTAATTGCGGGCGTATACTCGACGCTTGCCAGCCTCGTGCTACCCAAGGCCCCACATTCCGTGAATTGGCCTCAGCATAGAAGAAGCATGTTTGGGTGGGTGGTGGCTATTTGCCGTATGGGGTTTTCTAGAGAGTGAACGGCAGCCCATTGTCTCTGACATGACCTGGCGCCTGTGTTGTTACTCGGCACTCCAATGCAGAGTTGGATTCGCGTGGCTGGAGACATAATTTATTCTTAGACGCCGACCAACGCAGGGTAATCCACGAACGGCCGCCATGGTGGCAAACTCAACAATAGTTCCCATGAGTTGACCATACAATCAATCAAAGACTTGTTTAAAGTCCGGATAATTGGGTGGCAAATGTTGCCACCAACTTCAAGTCCTCAAAGTCTGGCGTCTGCCGAGAAGGTTTCATAGACGCCAAAGCCAGTGGAAACAGGCATGCTATTAGTTCTTCTTATCTATCAACTCATCTTGTTTTACGAGTCAAACAACCAAGGACTTCGCATCGAGGAATTTCCCCGTAAAGCTTACGCTCCAAAACATGTGGACCTAAACAGGGATATCCCTGTGGTTTCGCTTGTCCGCCACAGAATGATTACTGCAATGAAGAAGCATGCTCACCAACAACTGGGAAAATCGGCGAGCGAACCTGCACCCAGTGCTGAGGTTGATGGACCAAATGAAGGTCATGAGCGTTGGTTGTTCTTCTCGATGGTCAAATTTGATAATACATGGCTCCCCGACTTCTTTTGTGTGCAATTGAACTCAGCATCGTGCCTGACTCGCTGATTATCACTTCGAGTGTTTGAAAAGGTACGGTAGTTCATCCTAGCACTTTCTTATCAGGATCCAATTTGAATGGTGAATCAGGGTCCCTTGTGTATGATTTGTCAACCTGTCACTGCCCAAAGTTTGTCAACGGATCCATCTGAGCAGTTCGTCTTGTCTCTCACTTATTATAGAGCATGCTAGTTTTCACCTTCCCTCTGATCTGGCAATCACAGAAGCCGAAAATTCAATCACTTTATCGCGATGACGGCCGAAGCCAATGCAGCCAATGCGAAGGCAAAACCACTTGTTCTCTATGCCGTACCCCCACGAGAAGGGCATATGCGGCCAGCCCTCCAAATCAGCAAGCACCTCAATGACAACGGCTTTGACGTCACCATTTTAGGCACCAAGAAGTGGCAAACAATAATTGAAGCAGCAGGCGCTCATTTTAGTCCTATTATCGGACTTTGGGGAACGCTTGATGACCCAGACCGCTGGCCAGATGTCGCCCACGCATCGAATCCAGCTGCACGTCTTGCTGCATCCCTTGATGGGGGATTCGTCTCCCTTTTACCCAGCGGTCTCGAATCGTTAAGGTTCGCTCTTGCGGCCCTTCGCAGGCGGCAGCCCGGACGCCAGATCATTATCTTATCTGACACTTGCTTCTCTGGGACATTGGCTCTGAAGTTGGAGACCGATCTACCGGAGGGCTTTGACGAGGGAGAAAAAATCAAAACAATCGGAATCGGGGTTGTGCCAACCTTTTGGGCCAGTCCTGAAAGGCCACCCTGGGGGTCAGGATTACCGTTCGACAACAGTGAGGAGGGGAGAAAGAGAAACGTGCAGATTACTCAAACCACATGGAACAATGCTGCCGAAGAGCGTGCAAGATGGGTCTTGGGGGTGATGGGTTGCTCCAGAGATGTCAATTCCTTGTACGATGACATTCCGTCCACCATCCCACACCCATTCTGGGATGCTCCAACCATCTGCCACGATACGACACTTCAGATGTGCCTCCCCAGCCTCGAGTTTCCATCGAAAGACTGGCCGGAGAAGATCAAGTTCGCGGGTACACTGCCAATCAAGCCATTGCCGTCTAACCTCACATATCCGACTTGGTTCAACGACATTTTGGCCAACAGCGCGACCCTAAAACCGTCAGGTTTGGACCGAAAGAGGATTATCTTCGTAGCACAGGGTACTGAAGTGTTGAATCACCGAGAACTCATAATTCCCACGATGGAAGCGTTGGTAAACCAAGACGATGTGTTGGTCGTTGCCTGTCTATGCGTGGCTGGCGCCGTTCTCGACACTAGCAGCTTTGACAACGGCCAATTGCCTTCTAACGCCAGAGTTGTCGACTATTTTCCGTATGATGCAATTTTAGCACATGCCGATGTATTTGTCTCCAACAGTGGATACGGAGGATTTCAACATGCTGTTTCAAACGGCGTCCCGATGGTGCAGGCCGGCAACGTCTTTGATAAGCCTGACATTGGGAGAAGAATTGAATGGTCTGGCTTGGGCGTATACTTAGTAGAGTCTCCGCCCCCCGTGAGTGCCGTTCGCGCGGCGATTAATAAGGTGCTCAGTGATGGGAGGTATCTAAATCAGGCGAAAGCGCTGAAGAAAGAGGCAGAAAAAACCAACCCTCTACGGAAGATTGGGGAAGAGATTATGCTGTTGAAGAGTCAACCGTATTAGAGAATGGTCAGGAGCGAGCTTGAATGACTTTGGACTTGGTCTATACGGCTTATAGATGATCGTTATGCAACAAGTTGTCCCCTTAATTGTGATTACTTTACACTCCAGTTGCTTTGTTCAGCTTATGACAGACAACGGCAGAAATTCAACTGAGTTGATGTAGTGAAGTAGACAAAGACCATTACGGCCATGTGCCTCGGTTTTGACAAAGATTGAGAGCGGCAACCGGAAGATAGATAAAGAATTTTGCAATATGGAACAGGAGAATAGTCGCAGGTCCCAAATGGGAAGCATGTTCATGTTGAAGCGTCATTGCCATCGGGAACAACAGATGTTGGTTTACATAAGTAGTTAAAACGCCATGTAATGGAAGTCCGTCGTTTCTTGCATTAAGCTTACACTGATGAGCCTGCCCTAATCATCGAAGTGCCTTACCGTGCCCCCTGCTCCTTCTTGGTCAGTACGCACAACTCCGCCATACAGTCGATGCTTGCAATCTCCGAGGACCAAGCGTTCTTTGGTGCAATGCCAACCGGAGAAGACATTATATCGTCAACAAGCTCATGAATCCAGCGGACAGCGGTTTTTTTGGCGAGGTCGGCTCTGGTTTCATCACCGCCGTAGGTACCCAAGAAGCTAGTCTGCAGGTCCTCAATAAAGTAGGCACCGCCATGACGAAGGTATGGCCACAACTCCTGCAAGGAAGTTATCTGCTGTGACATGGTGTGGCCACCATCGTCAACAATAATGTCCATCAGTCCATCGGCTGTGGTCTCTGTGCCAACGTGTCTGAGGAACGGCACCGACGACTGATCGCCGAAGAAAAGTACAGCCTCCGGATTTTTAGCCGCCCAAGCAGAGCCGCAGCGCTCGTCGTATTCGACAATGTTCAGCTCGATCTTTGGAAAGTACGTGGTCCATATCGGGTACGAAGCGCCAGGGCCATAAGGCTGTATAGAATTTTCTTAAGCACATGACCACAAGTCAGAAATATCATTGGTGGTTTCTTTGCTTACCATACCACAGCCCAAACCAATCTCAATCATTCTGACAGGGCGATCACGGAACTGAGCAAGGTACTTGTCGTACAAGAAACCGTAGTTGTGGGTCGTCACCTTGTCAGTACCGGATTTCATAGCTAAGTCCGTGAAGGTGGGCCGCTCGTCGTGATTCTTGCCACCAAAGATCGGTTTCTTGGCAGCCGCAGCAACCTCAAGTGCACCTTCGTGCTGTGTGTCTTGCTGACCATCGTGTTGTTTCGGAGGCCTGTACGACAGCTGTTAGTCTTGATGGCAACAAAGTGTTGGCAATTGCCGTGTAAAAGCATCTTGGCATAAGGAAACGCACCTGGACCAAGGGTTTGCCGAATTGATGACCTCGGGTATCTCATCACCTGTTATGCGCAGCGTAGCGAGAAGCAGGAGAATGGTTGCTCCCACAAGCAACGCCGAAAGATACCGCGGTTTCTGAATCATCTTGCCGGCGAAAGATTGTTGCTAACTAGTAAGGTTGCTGATTGGGCGCTGATTCCGAAAAAAGAAGATATGTTTATATAAAGTTCTGGTCGAGAGGGGCAAAACTTCATGACATTCTATATACTGTGCCGTTGCGATCACAGTTGTAGAGAGCAGAGATTGTAAACATGAGGTGGAGTGTAGGAACACAAGTCAAAGAGGAGAAATTGATAACGTCAGTATATATACCTCTGGGACGGGACCTGCAACGCGAAGTCACTCGGTACGAAGCAACTCGGACAATCCAGCACCATATTTGCCCTCTTCTTATGGGGCTTGCTAGACCAGCTACTCCGATTGGCCAAAGCATGAGCGTTATCCAAAAACGGCATCCTTGATGGTATGGCGTGTCTTGACTTGTTGCCCTTAAGCCATTAAGTGCCATTATAAAAGCCACTAAAAAGATAATTTCGCGGCAGCTATGAAGCCCTTGCGTGCTTCTTGTGGCAAACAAAATTTCGCGTGGTTCTACTGCGAGGAGAGGCAAAAAAAAAAGTAGGAGAAATGTTAATGGCAAGTAAAATTGAATGGCTGTTGTTTCGTGGCCCCTTGACTCAACTTGTGGCCCCTTGAATACTTTGGTGTCAAGTCGAGCATGCTGTGTCTCAGCCCCTCTCTCATCCGCCCCTTCTTTGCTCAGAGACGGCTTCGTCGTTGGCATCCGAGCATTAGTGGTACCCTCTACGGGAAATTCTTGGTCGAGCTGTCTTGATTGGCCAAAACACAAATCTGGGTCTATCTACGGAAAGCCTTTAGTCAGACTTGCTGCCTGTCAATGGTCAAATTTGCTGAATACTGGGGTGCCAGTTGGATGCAGTTATCCTTCCTCATGCAGATCACAGTACTAGAGATAAAACGGTACGCTTAACTAAGCTCGACTAGGTTACGCGAGAACTGAACGCCATAATTTTGAAGCAGGTTGGGTTGGTTCCAGGCTATGGATTCCATGTACCATAACTTCCCCATATTCGGCAGCCAAAGACTACTTAGTGAGCGTTGAATAACAGAATTCCCTCTATTTCCACGGCTCGATTTCAGGCGAATGGTCTTTCTCAAGTCCCTCGAGATCTACACTTTGTTCTACCTGGATTGATTCTGAGCTGGTTGAGGTTTAGATCTTTGATGGCTTCAAGTGCGCTAAACTTATTCCTGGTAGGAGCACGACCCCATCAATGTGCATGGAGGGAAGCATAGACACTAGTTTTCATTGTTTAGGTCTATGTCGTCTGAGAAGTTGTGAATGATGAAAAATCTTGCTTATAATATATACTATTAACCATCACAGAAACGCCGCGTCTGCAGATTTTCTCGAATTTTAGCTATTCCTCCGGTGACTGAGAAAGATGAACACGGTGAGAGAGGCCGTAGAGATAATAGTTTATGAATGAAACGCGATGTTGAATGCACTATAGACCCAGAAGTAACCTCTCCGAAGGTGTTCCAACATTCTTTCGAGGTCATAAGTCTCTGCCACCTGTTTTAGTCGTTCACAATTCTCTGCACCGTATCCCCCATAAACATCCTGGTAATTACCTATGTAGTTCATATACGTAAAGTTACAGGCTAGGCCTCTTTCGTCTGCAAACTGATTATCTGACTGATGAGGTTTGCAGTGCTACTATCGATGACGCAGTCCAGTTTGGAAGTTTCCCAGCTAGTAGGCACAAGAATATGGACTAACGGTTCCTGCCGAGGAAACAGGCCCAAAGCATTACCGTCGTCCTATCGCTTCCAGAATATTGGTTGATATGGTTTGGTATGCCAGATATGGTGTTGCGGTCTGGTTGAATTCCTCAGCGGCCGCCAGAAGACCGCCGACGTGTGCTTTTCAAAGTGGAACGATGTCTTAGAGGAGCTGAGCGGAGCCGTTTTTGAGATAAATCGAGGTGCCAGACTATGCTTCATGGGTGCTGTATGCTTCGGAGATGGCGACAGACTGGGCCGATATAGTTGCAAATGTTGTTGTGTTCAGAAAAGCCCCTGGGACAGCCTTGAGATCGGCGAGAACTGGAGGCGTGTCCTCAGCTGACGATGGAGGCACCGCATGATACGTGCAGTTAGCGACCAGATCACCACCAATCTTAGGATAGTCGGTCATAACCAGAAAAGTGTGCGCATCATCATCTGCAGGTAAACCGTCGATAGACAAATCCACGGATCCCGAGACCAGCTCTGTGCTAGAAGACAAGGGATATAGAGACAGGTACAGCCATATGTCTCCCAGGTCAAATGCGACAAGATCGAAACGGCTGACGATACCAAAGCTCGACTCTCCACCTCCACGCAGAGCCCAGTAAAGATCTTTGTTTTCTGTTGGAGATGCATTGACATTTTCTCCTGAAGCCAGCACCACTTCAAAGTTGCGGACGTTGTCGTATGCCCATCCATACCTGCCCGAAAAGAATGAAATGCCGCCTCCGAGAATGAGACCATTGACGCCGACGTCGATTACGCGACCCCCAACTACAGCAAGACCTAGTTCATCTCTAGTTTATCTAATACTTGTGATGCATTATACCATCGGTTGCCGGGGCCGATGGACACGGTTTGGCGCTCATCTGAGACGATGACTTCATTCATGCGCGCTAGGCCGGTGGTAACGCCGTTTTCGATACTTGAGCCCCCCTCGAAAGCAGAATGGCCGCTGCTCTTGACCGTAAACGGCGCCGACAATGAAGTAAGGACTTTGATGGTGACGGAAACGTCATCGGTGCTCTCCGGGGTAAAAAAGCAAGCCGGGTGGATGCCGCCTTGACATCTGGACCAGTAATCATTAGAGATGGCATACTGAGTGGAGTTCGAGTATGAGATGTTCGTCGGAAACTTGGTGGACAGAGTGGTTCACTACAAACGTCAGAACTGCTGGAACAAATTGTCGGCATGGCAGACAAACAGGATTCTCAGACCTTTCTGAGAGGAAAGCAGAAGAGCATTGCGAGTGAGACAAGCCCAGAAGGGTCCATCTCAGCATTGAAATCTTCCATTTCAGACCAGATGTCCCCGAAGCTGGCCGCGCTCAGGCAAAATCCCGTAAAGACTGCCCAGCAATACCTAAGGGTTTGGGGTGGCGGCCGTTTCTTATCTTGTGCGGCTTCGTCTACAGAGTAGCTCCCTGGCGTTGCGCTGCCAGGACTCCTATGAGATCAACGCTGACAGGCATTTGGCGTTGATTGGTGTAGCCAACGGACTACCAAGAATTTGCCATTTCTGGTCATCCTGCGAACATCGCAGCGGTCAGTCATTGGCCTAGGGCTGACGCCAAGGCTTTCGGTCACATGGATCGGGACCAAAATCGCATGGCGCGGATCCCTCTCCGGGCCTCACGTCCACAGCGATACGGGATGATACAGCCTTCCGAAAAGATAGAAGGAACAGGTTTGCGGCATCCACTTGACAGGATTTGGGTAGCATTTTGGTTTTGTTCATTGCAGATGTGGGTCCATACGCGCCGAGGATGGAGTTTGAAGCATGTTTGGCACCGTCTATTGTGGATTGTTGAGGCACTGGCTTCCTATCCCTCAGAGACACGTACAGGTATACATACGAACGATTCAGTTTTGCTATATTCAGGGCCTGCTAGACAGTGTGATGCACGATTCAAGGTCCCGAACGTAATTTGCTTCACTGTTCTGCATTGTTATTCTTTACCACAACACAGTGATATTTGAGGAACGAAAAACTCCTTCAATCCTGCTCATGACTTTTGGACAAGTTGCTACAAGACATAGTAACAATACTCCAAAATGTTCAGCCAGGCAGTGGCTAAGACAACAAGGCCTAGATCTACAAGCATGAGATGCAACCTTCGTCTAGCACGAGGCCTTTTCCTCTCGTCATCTATTAGTCCCCCAGAGTCGCGAACCAATTTGCATTACGATGTCATCGAAGCGCCTTTTAGTCTTTGTCTTAGACGACTGCCGAGTGCCAGTAGTGCTCTAAACGATGCCTTACGGCTCTCGGCTCAATGATAGTGCATGGTGAACACTGACACTACATCTAGTACTAAACAGAACGTTACAGCGTTGTATTTTTTACTAGGTCCCAGAGAGACAAATCTTCATTCATCGGTGACAATCTCGTCGACGCGGTACAGGTGGAAGTATGACAGCAAATCACATGTTCCAAGACAATACTTTTAAATAAAACCCCGGGTTTGTCGTAATGTAAGCGATGTAATCGGCAAAGTTACTCTTGCTCTCTCTGGCTCCTGGAGCCAAGAAAGTTCGTCCTCAAAGATAGTATGGTACAAAGAAGGTTTGACACGAATGTTCTATGTACAACGTCATCGTCGCCCAACTCTGAACGGCCCAGACTCATGCACGAACGAAGCGCGACTTGGTGGACCATCCCCAAGCCTCAACGTCACGCTTGCTCATAGCGGCAACGCTCTTGGCGTAGTCGCTAGTGCCATGAGAAGGATCGGCGTCGGTGGCCTCGCAAGTAGGGCCGGTGTTGTAGCCTCCAAGAGCGCCGGTAACACCAGAGAACTCCATTTTCTCCTTGGTGGTGGCGACCATGTTCTTGGCAGCCTCCTCGGTCCAGCCGTTGATGAAGTCACCGTGAGAGCACCATGCAGGGCCGCAAGCAAGCTTGAAGGGAGCAGTGCCGCTCCAACCCTTGGGAAGGACTTTGCGCACGTCGTAGCGGACGGAGAACCGAAGCTGGGGCATAGACTTCATGCCGGTCGGGCAGCTACCGCCGCGACGGTCCTTATAGCCGGTCTCGAGGGTCTCGGTATTGACGCACTGGGGGAAGTAGAGGAGCTGCTGCAGGTGGGTGCCACAGGTCGTGCTGGGGAAGCCATTGGCATCCTGGCTTTCACCGCCGCCGTTTTCGCAGGCCCACGAGACTTGGGCCTCGGCGGGCATGTCGGCTTTGGTCTGGGCGTTGGCATTGCCGGCAACCATCTTCACGTTCTGGGGAATGGGGACCTCGGCGGGAGTCTCGCCGAGGTTGTAGTAGGCGCTGAAGCGAGACACGGGCATGGGCTCGTATGTCTTGCCACCGTCGGTGGTGTAGAGAGGCGTGGGGATCCAGTAGACAGACAGGTCGTTGGGGTTCTCGGCGTTTGTGCACCCCTTCTGGAGCTCAGCGCTGGTGTTGGTGTTGATGGTTACGGCATCGGAGCCGAAGAAGGAGTGTAGGTGAGACTTGTCATATTGGCCGGGGAATACGATGGGGTCAATGTTCTTGGCCATGAAGGGAGAGGCGACCTGGACCACGGTGTAGGCCTGAGCAATGCCGGCAAGCAAGCCGGTAGCGAAAAGAAGGGAAGACATCCTGTGTCTGTAACGAATGGAAGTGTGTTACAAAAAAAAGAAAGAGTAAAATGCTTATGGAAACAAGCAGGGAATGCGACGATGAACAGAACGTTGGAGAATATGGGAATGGAATAATCTCGAGCCAAAGGCCATCGAGTCTTAAGTATCCAACGGAAAACTCGTGTTTCCCCAAGCCCATTTCTTTGGCTCTTCTTCCAAAAAGGGATTTTTAATATCATGGCTCCTTGTTTAATTTCCGTTCATGTTTCATACCGTCGCCTCTGGCAGCGGCAACTGGTCGGAAAGGGAACACTCCTCGTGGAGCCGCCCGTTTTGTCGAAAGTGCAAGTAACTTGGCAGAGCCGCACGATGCCGCCGTTGGATTAGCTCAGTATTGCTGATTGGTTATTAACCACAATTAAGAACTTTAGCGCGTGCAAGGATTCCACTCTTACCCGCTTTTCCTTCGCACGCGATGCTGTGAATGGATCAGCCCGGGAGATCTGCTAGCCCAGGGGCTCATCTCTTTGGGAAGAAAGAAGAGCCGACAGCCGTTACTTCTTGAACCTGGGAGCTCACTCAGTCGCATGGACTCACGCTGAGCTTGTGATAAACTTGCTTGCAGCCCATTACCTATCGTCATCACCTCGGATGAACGAATGCAGGCCCGGCCGCTCGAGAATCCCTGGCGTTGTTATCAACAAGTATGCCTTAAGAGAAGCCCACATTGACGAGGTGGTCCACTTGCCAGCATCTCAGTCATGCAACATTGTCGGAACTACAAGGTCAAATATTTCTTTGTTATACATGATATTGACCTGGACGGAACCCTTCCAAGGTACAAGGTCCCGGTCTGTTCATTTAAACAGCTTGACCTTCATCTGTGCTGACCATTGGGGCATCGTCGTGGATCGGCATTGGTGTTGCTAATGAATCGATAGACTTGAACATCTCATCCCAGAAATAGTAGCTGCGAGGGCCTTTGTGTGATTCTGTGGCCAACATCGATCCTAATTTTCTCTCCCCTCGACATGGGCACGAAGAGATGTTTTTTTCCCGGGTTTTCTTCCTAAGCGGCTAGGACCCACAGGAGGCTCGTGTGAGATGACCCCTGCTATGTTAATCAGCGGCGTTCGGCTCCCGGCGCATCGCCTTTCGGCCAGTTACCGATTAAGTGCATCTTAATCGGGCATTTCTAGCTGCCAAGTCCTCAGCCACCATGGACTGCTTTATTACAAGATCGTGTTGGAGCTTTCTTCCACTACCAACTTTGTTATCCAGATGCAACGAATCACACAACTTGTACGGTTAAACCACTGATGGAAGTATTCGTCCCTCCCGATATTAGGCAATGTACTTGCCGAATAGGGTACTGTCACTGCTGTTCACTTACAGACCACGAAATACGTGGGTTCATACCGTCGCAGGCACGCAATCCGGGGATTTGCTCCTGGGGTCGACTACCAGCTCAGTGTTTAGGGCCATAATCATGGGCTACGATGCTGTACTTCGGGAATCGGCAGCGAATGTCGGGAAGTGCTGGGCTGCCAATGTGGGGCCGGATTACCGCTGGGCTGTCATAACGTTAAGCAGGGGCTAGGCACCCTTTTGGGACCTGCAATCATCAAAGACCAAAAGAAAAAGATCTGAGTTGTGGATTGGAAAGAACGGTGCGGAAAATGCTTGGAAAGAAGCCAATGCTCCCCCCACCCCAGTTGGCTGATGCGTCGCTATGGCATGCTTGCCCCTGGTAGTGTCCTTGACGTCTTTCCCCTCGCTGTGAATATGGTCTTCGGTGCTGTTAGCAGCGGAGCGTGCGGTCGAGCCAAGTTCATGACAAAAGCTGTAGGATAGCGCTCGTGTAGCTCTGGGAACCAAGCTCCGGACACCTGAACATGGATAATAAGGGGAAAACTAATGATTCAGGGGGTCCAATTGATTTGATTCAGGAGCCTCGATCTGACTAAGCAAGAAATCTCCTTTGGAAGGCAGACCCGCCTTTTCGCCGAGTGGATGGTTGTCACCACGCATCGGATTTTCACTTTGAACTTCTGACGAGTAACAACACTAATGATAGAAGTTCCACGCTGTCTGTACTTACCGAGCGAACGCTGCTGCGTCAAGGCGGTGCAGCCTGTGCCGACATATGTCGAAGAACTGGCTGGATATCGAGGAACGGAAAGTTCTCACTGGGCAACACAGACGGGCCCAATCAAGTAACTGGCCCCGAGTCGGTGAATGCTGCAAACGCGACGTTGACCAAACTTTTTATCTAGCTTCAGCTCTTCGATTTATATTCTTTGTCGACTTCGCTTTGGAAACGGATCCACACATAAACCTCTGCTTACCCATAGGCCTGGCCGATGCAACCTAGGAGCCAGGCTCGTAAGCATCATAAATACTTGCGGTTGAAGTTACGATCCGGCTTCTTGCGTCTTGGAACTCAAGGCTTCTGCTGTGCTCTGGCACGCCACGACCAGTGCTAGGGTACTATGAACGAGGTAATCGACAGCAGCTAAAATGTTTTTATTTTGTGATCCGGTGCACGTCGTTTAACAATGAGCTGCTCCTCATGAATTCGATTGCGGTGCTTTGTAGCGTTTCTTCAAGAAGCTAAGGTTTCTAAATATGGCTTCAACAGCGGCGCCAAGCTGGTGGTTGAACAAAGGGTGGCCAAGTTGCTGAAGCCGTAGGCCACTTCAAGGTTTTAGGAGTGCACTCCCTGCTGACTCCCGTCACCAAGTAAATACCATGCGTTTTCCGTACAGGTGCCGGTGTCGAAAAGGATATATCTGCATTAGCAAGCTGCTAGAGCATGACGTTCTCTACCAACTGGCCTAGGCCGAAGAGGCGTTGTTATAGTGTTATGCTTGGATTACGCAGCGGGATATGGTTATTTAGCTCAAAGAAGCCTGATGAATTGAGGCGGCGATGTTCGATCTCGCTCCCGCTATCCGCTTAAAGTCAAGGAGGACATGCACCTTATCGTCTCTTCGCAATATACTGCTATGACTATCTGCTGCTTGCCTTTGAGCTCCAGTTTGCAGAAACTAGTAAATCACTGTTAACCGCCTTAAAGATGATGATATTCTTTGCTCAATGTGAAACACCGTTATCGCAACCTAACCCAATTTTAAGCACTGCCCGGGCACATATACCCTTGTTCAGATAAGGGTGAAGAAGGCATGAGTCACGCTTGCCGTATAGAGCGAAGCGTGCCAGCCCCGCATCATCCAAGTGCATGTTTGCGGGGTGCAAAATGAAGAAACTCACCTAGACACCAACTACCAATTCATTCGAGGAAGTACCGGTAGTATAAAGAGAGCTCAACGACCAATCACAGTATTGAAAATTTAGGTAAGATCGAAATTATTCGTTTTGCGCTCTTGAAGAAATCAGCGTGCACGTTGACCGCTCTGTGTCAATTTGACTTGGTAAGGATCGTCAGTATTCTTCCAGCATGGCAGCCCATCACATTCAATCGATCTCTGCACCGCAGTGGTGACGCAAATCTTTTGAAACCCAAGAACTGTCTGCTTCTAGTTTCTTTCCCATTGCCTTTTCTCATTGTTTATCTTGTGTCTGTTATCCCTGTTGATTTCTTTCGTGTATTTCCCAAGTCCCCAAGTTCCCAAAATGCGAGGACGGAGAAGAGGGGTTAGGAGGAGGGGGAAAGCAGCAGGTTGATATTTGGTGCTGGACATGGGCTTTCAATGGCATATATATAAATTTCTTCTGTTTATATGGCTAACAAGCAATCTCAAGGAACACCACGACAGACACCCTAGAGCAACACTACGAAAATGATTACCGATGGCCTCGAAAACGCCTTCTGCTCTGACCGCCTCATCTACAGGGCGATAGAAAACAACGAAGCAGACAGCACCTTTCTGCACACCCAGCTCGAGAACGACCCGGTCAATACCGCCCTTTCGGATCTAAGGCTACTCAAGCCCAAAAACAGCAAGCACAGCCACTCGATGACTGAAAAGATGGAAAAGTCCATCTTGACAGTGATGATCTGCCTGCCTCATAAAAACACAGCTGAGGACAATGAATCAATTCCCGTCGGTTTCTTGACTCTCGGATGGGCCGGCATACCGGCGGACATGGCTCAGCACCGCTCAGTCGGTCTTGGCATCGCGCTGGCGGCGCCGTTCCGCGGGAGGGGGTATGGCGCCGAAGCCATCAACTGGGCGCTGGACTGGGCGTTCCGGTATGGAAACTTTCATCGCGTCCACCTCGGCACGGTATCATACAACGAGCGTGCGCAGCATCTCTACAAGAAACTTGGATTTGTGGAAGAGGGCCGGAGTCGTGAGGCGCACTGGTTTGACCGGAAATGGTACGATTTGATCAGTTACGGCATGCTGGAGCACGAGTGGGAGGCGTTGAGAGGCATCAAGAAGGAACAAGGAGGTGTTTGATGTTGAAATGTCAATGATGTTTGGATTGTTATAGTTTTGGAGTCAAAGAGGGCCACGACTCATCCTACGTCAGAGCTATCTGTAACCCAAGGTCTTGAACTCCCCGCGAATCCCCGTCAGGGAATCTCTAAACACGCAGCCCAGTTTTCAGGAGAACATGCTATGCTACGTTGGTTTGTCTCTCCTCGCGGCCTGATAAGGTCAAGAGAGGCAAGAATATGGGCCCTTACCAAACCCATATTCGCAGCCATATCTATAATCATCACCGTTGTACTTCCTGCTTGGATGTTTTGGCCTGACCGCGGTCCTCCTATGTCTTCTGCATGAGGTCTTGCCTCGCTCATTGCCCCATCGAAGTGGCCTGCTATACTGACCTGGCTCACCTAAACAGCTTTTCTGATCTCTGACAGGTACAATGATGAAGCCAACAACTACTCCGCCCTCAGCGTTGAGGAATCCTTCGGCGTTTCTCTATCTCCATCTACACGATCTTTTCCCATATATTGGGGGACGAAGAGGCTAATTTTTTTTCTTTTGGCAAAGTTGATCTCAAATGCTGAAGGAAAGAATGAGACAGGCTTCGGGAACTTGGCACATACTAAAATCTCATCTCCATAATGTCATCACTCCTAGCCTACGCGCGGACCATGAACGAGCCAGACTTCTTCAAGACGTACATCTACCAAAATACTCAACTCTTAAGCTTGAATCGAATCTACACTGAATCGTTGATAATGAAGGGGAATGAATTCACCAGAAGTTTGTAATTGATGGTCAAGATATCATGGATGCGTTCCCATAGTGGTGAAGCAGGGGTGGCTAAATGACATATTTTCATCCATAGATCAATCGAGTTTACGGCCTCTCAACATGTCCGCTTTCATGCTAAAATCATTAATAGGTGATTGTGCAATTACCAGAACATTCTTTTAGATAACCATGTTCTTGACAGTATATAATGGGTGCCAGAACTCCTGAACCTCCTGGAAGGAGTAAGCATTCCCGTCACTGGGCTACCTCAACACCAGAGTCGTCGCATCACGGCTACATTGTAACTTGCAGGTTTTTTCTTTCATAAACTAGCTCCAATGCCTGTACACATTTACCTCGTGCAAGAGGTTTTTAAACTATAGAATAGCCCTAAAGATCAAGCAGTACAGGCAACCCTTCCAGGTCGATTCAATGGCCCTAAAATTAGTCGTTCCTGCTGTTGTGAATATTGACCTTGGTGTATTCGGCCATCATTGGGTTCTTGTTGAGCGCAGACAAGGTGACAGCGAGTAGGTTGGGCTCAGTCCAAGCCGGACGCAGTCCGCGTGCTTCGAGACGCCCCCACCAGTCAAGGAAAACTTTCGAGGTGATGCCGTTACTAGTATACAAGTGTAGTTCAACAATTAGTTGGCCGATGGGCTGCTCCTTGCCCGCGGCAGATGAAAAGTCACGGTGCATGCCATCCAGCGCCTGGGACTCGGCAAACTCAATACCCATCCGAAGAATCTCGCTAGAGTGCTTACTACAAATTACTGCTAGGCTCAAGCTGCTTCCCAAAATCGATAACATAGAAGTCATGTGCATAAACAACACAATTGTTCCGGCTCAGCATCTCTTGCTCTGCAACGCATCAGTCCCGTCAGCATTCATGTATTCACCTACTCGATATAACAGCATGGATCGGAAACAAAGTCATAGGGCAAGTTACTTACCGAAATTAGACTCGTCACGGACGCCGAAGGAGTAGATAATACACTCCTTATCCTCGTGATAATTCTCGTATCGTGACATGCCGCAGACCCATTTGCCACCGTGTCCCATTAGTTTCCTACCGATCGAGGGTGTTGGGTTCTTATGCTTTCTCGCACTATTGTATGTTGATCTCAGCCATTGCTTAAGTCGGATGAGAGTATTGGTCTACTAAGACCATGGAGGTTAGCGTTCACCACAGCTTCCTCATTTTCCACGCTATGCTGCATGGTGTCTCGGGTGGTAGGCAGTAAGATCAGTGGCAGGCTCCACGATGGATTCGTCAAGAAATATCTTCAAGGGCGCTTTGGGTTCAGCCGGTGCCCTTCATACCCCTAGGCTGTAGCTTTGTATCATTGGTAGAGGGGGCTTTTTTTATGCAAGACACTGCAATGCCACTTGCAGATCAGTGGGTCAAGAGACCCAAAACGGTGGGCTGCGTGCGTGGCATGGCACTAACAAGTAGAAGCTTAAGGGCGGAACTTGACAAGCCACCTCCTGTGGAATGAATCAACATTTTTAGACAACATGATCTTTCCATTTTTTCCCCCGCATCCCTGGCTTGCCCAGCCATAGATTTATGATAATAAAGTATGACAAAACAAACTCGTAGGTTATACGGATGTTGAAGCGCACGCACACATCCCTCGCGTACCTACTCTGATTGTTCATCATTCCCAAAAGGCTAATAACAATCCAGGAGCGACCTCTTCCTATCTCTAGCATACTGGGCCGGCGCTTGTAAATGTCTTCAAAATAATGTAAGATATAAATGTGCCAATTTTGCTGGTCTTGCACATACTAATAGGGCTAGATCCCGTGGAAGGACAATCCGTACTCAAGTGAATAGTATCTGCCACGCGACATGTACTTTGTATCCATAGAAGAGGGACGACTAATTCAACACAGGTCTATCGTGGGTACACAAGGTGCCTTTGACCTTCTCTATGGGTAGATGGATACGTCTATGATGATTTCCAAAGATATGCCCACCAATATTTGTACGTGACCCCGTACGAAGTTGTATATGCATCTGGAAGAGTCAACCTGGTTGTTCTCAGGAAGCTTGTGGGCAAACCCAGGCTATGCACTGTGAAGCAGGTTAATATTAGTGATACTAATAATAAGGCAGCAAATACTGATGTTAGGGAATTTTGGAAGGGGGGGAGGAAAGAATTAAAAACAGACTCAAAAAATGAAAGATATCGAAATTCCATAAAAAAGTGAATAACACGATTAAATATTTTAATCTATATCTGTTGAAGGACAATGGCCCGCCTGCAGGCACTGTGGCGCAACGTGGTACTACTGCATGGCTTAGCTACAAGAGATTATAAAGCTTGTGATAGTGTCTTAGGGTACAGGGCCCTTTAACTAGCAAAAGGCTAGAGATTCTTAGGCTTAGATCTATTTTCTGTTCGATAACGTAGTTCACAAGCGAGTGAGCCACTTTCCAGTACCCATACGACAAAGTGTAAAAGAAATCAACCACAACACCTTAAATCAATTCAAACTATTCAGAATCCTCTTCTTCAGAGGTAAATTCAACTTTCTGACATATGCAAGCATTATATCTAGTCTCTCCACAGATACCACATCGTCGCACACATATTTCTATCCTCTTTATATAACTACTACTCTAACCTATTTTTACCTATAACTACTTTATTGTATTAATTTAAAACTTTATATCTTTTATCTAATTAATTATAAGTGTTCTACTTTTCTAAAGCTATTTTTTTATACATAATAATAATAGCTTATAACGTAGTCCATAAGCAAGTGGGCCATATAAGCTAGTGGGCCACTTTCATAGTACTTGTAAAACAACATATAAGAGATATTGGCTATAACGCCTTAAATCAATTCAAACTATTCAGAATCCCCTTCTTCAGAGGTGAATTTAACTTTTTAACATATATAAGTATTATGACTAGGCTCTCTATAAATGCTATATTATTGTGTGCGCGTTTCTAGTCTCCTTACATAACTACTATTTTAACTTATTTTTACTTTTAATTGCTTTATTGTATTTATTTAAGACTTTAAATCCTTTGTTTTGTTAATTATAAGTAATCCTTTTTACTATAGCTATTTTCTTTTTATATAGTAATAGTAGCTAAGGCAATTACTTGCTTCTTAAAGTTTAGCTAAGTTACTTTATATTAAGGTCTATTTATATATTATTATTATTATCTTTTTTTTGTTACTATATACTTAAAAGAATTATTATTAAAAAGCTATTTTAGTATTATATAATATAATTACTAATATCATTAAATTATAAAGTAATTTTAATTAAGTTATTTAGTGTCTTTAAGACCCAAGCTAATAGTAAGCTAATAAATAAACTAAGTAGTATTAGCGTATAAAGCTTAATATTTAGCTATAAAATTATATAATTAAAGTTATATAGTATAAGGCTAATTACTTTAAAGCTTACTTAAATATTTAATATAGTTATTATAATATTATATACTTTATAAAAGGCTAAGAGAAAATCCTTTTTAGTAATGTATATAATATATAACGTACACGTATAGCGAGTTGCCCATCATAGCGAGTTACCTACTATTTTTACTTTTTACCTCTTTTACCTTTATACTAAGTTTTCTCTATGTATAAATATATAATCTACTTTAATTAAAAGTTGTATTATTCTTGTTATCTAAGCTCTTAAAAAGACCTAAAAATGTCTATATAAATAGCTGCTTTTACTTTTAAGGTCCCCTAAATAACGCTACATAACTAATACGCTAGACGCGTTATTCAAGGCAAAAGACGACTAAATTTAATAAAGATAACTATAACTAAAAAAGAAGTGATTTTTAAATAAGTTATTAACTTAATTAATTAAGGGTTCCTTTTGCGATAAGAAGACGTATAAGAAATAGCTAACTAACTTCTAAATATATATAATAAGATATATATAGGACCTTAATAGGTAAAGAACTTTATATAACACGTCTTTAAATTAAAAATGTAATTTTAACGTTAAATTAACTATTAGAAGGCCTTAGCTAAAAGTTTAATAATTATATAAAACTAGTTTATATTTAGATAAAACATAATCATAAAATATAAAATATTTAATAATAATATCTATTATTTTAATAAAACTAGGTTCTTAATAAAAATATTATTATATATAAAAGTTATTATAATATTTAACTATAAAAGAAGGCCTTATATAAAGTAGCTTAGTAATTAAAAATAAGTTTTTATTATTTAAGGTATCTGTATAAATAACTAAGTAAAACTGTTACCCCCTTAGCAGGGTGGCCACTGCCAGCGTCACGTGATGCCAGCTATCACGTGGGTAGTGCGTGCCTAACTATAAGTAGCGGTGTGCTGGAAAGGGGCAGGGTTTCGCGTTTTCATTTTTCCTTTTATCAGCCTGCAGACACAATCACAGGCCTGATCAGACGTGACTAAGCAGGACCCTTCCAAGTACAAAAGGGGACTCTAGTCAGATACTATCACAGAGATCGGGATATCATCACGAAGCAAACAGACAAGCTTGACATCTTTAGACAGGCACTTAGACAGACACGGACGAATTCATCACTTTGATATCTAAACAACACGTGTAATAAGTGACTGTTGCTTTGTTTCCTTAGGCCTGACTAGACCTCTAAGGTCTAGGAGGGTATCCTCCTCCAGAGATCACGACACACACATGCGTACCACTTAGCAACAAGGGCAAATCCGAACAGACTGCAAGACGTGAAGGATACACTTTTCTGGTTTGCTCGTGGCCCTGATCGGGCCAAGGAGGACCTGAAAAGAGTAGTATCTCACGGTCTAGGCGTTGGGGTAGTCACTTGGGGTAATCGGTCACTCCAGGTGCACTCGTGACGATACTGGGACCTTGGTGTTTAGTGTGGTTTGTGTGTTAACTGCCCACTTGCTGGCTTCCTTTATCCCACGCAGTTTCAGTGCACGTCAAGATAGACCTTAATACCATCATCCTTTATACATCTCTCTGACTAGTAACAAGTAGTAGCACAACCTCTATACGGGTAGGGAGATAAGTGTATTGGCTAAAAGGCCAAGGAGCTATTACCTTACAGAAAAGGCAAAAAGATAGCAACTTCTTAAAAGAGCTATAATTACACCTTCACATAAAGGCAATTAGCTAACCTTTAAGTTAGCTACTAGACCTTCTAGTTAAGCTAAAAAGTAAACCTTAGTAAACAAAAACTAAGAAGCTATTACTTTATAAAAAAAGCAAAAAGATAATAACTTCTTAAAAGAGCTATAATTACACCTTTATATAAAAGCAATTAATTAGCTAACCTTTAAGTTAGTTACTAGACCTTCTAGTTAAGCTAAAAAGTAAACCTTAGTAAATAAAGGTAATAACACTTATACTTTATACTTATATATTACAATTAACCTCTTTATAGTAAACAATACCCTTATTTACTAACCTTTAATTTAACCCTATCTATCTAACGTACTTACTAACATACCTACTAACACGCTTACTAATACGCCTACTAACACGCTTTTTGCTATTATAGAAGAAGGTTATTAGACTAGCCTAGTAAAGTAATAAGAACTATTACTTATTAAAGCGTCAAGGGGTAGTTATTACCCCCTTAGCAGGGTAGCCACTACCAGCGTCACGTGATACCAGCTATTACGTAGGTAGTGTGTGCCTAACTATAAGTAGTAGTGTGTACGTTAAGATAGACCTTAATACAATTATCCTTTATATATTTCTCTAACTAGTAACAAATACCTTTATATATTATTATAAAAAGTAAATATTACTTTTTTCCTTAGTATATTAATAGCTAATTCTTAGTTATATAGTATATCTATTTAAGTAAAAATAAATAAATAATAAATAATATTAGCTTAAATTAGCTATAATACTTTAATTAATATATAAGGACTTATATAAAAGGTTTTTATTACTTTTTAATCTTTAATAGTTATAATAGCTATAAATTAACTAACTTTAATAAATACTATAAGAAAATAAAGTATTATTATTTTTTTATATACCTTTTTAGTTATTATATAAGCTTTAG